ATCCTTCACACTTATATCCTGACAAAAAAAAAAATAGTGGCTTACAAGCCTGTACATATCATAACTTAATCTATGTGTTTATATACTTGATGACAATTGTACATTCTTTCTTTTTTTTCAGCTGTAATGTGTATACCACTCAATAAAAATTGATTGACAAAAAAAATGAGTAAAATTCAGGATAGGATGAATGAGTCTGATAAAGTTCTACAACATGATCCATTCAATGATAAGATATGGCTGTCACTGTTCAAGAATATATCCAACACAGATCCATGTGACGGTCTCCTGAAGGCTACATATATAAGTGCATACACTAGCTGAGACTCAGACATGCAGCTATGAGATTCCATTTATAGGTCACATTAAGGTAACATCCTTTCTTGACCACAGAGGAGTCAATCAAAATTAAGGGTTGTGTCACGGCTGTGGTAAAGCATGGTGATCTGTAGAACATGACATTAAAATATCTGTTAAGGGCTGAAAATGACAACAGTAAGTATGAGATGACTTAATGAAAAACAATGAGTCAAATACTTTACCCTCTAAGGTCATTTACATTAACAACGTTAACTCTTACTTGTATCTAATGTGGCCACGCTAATGTGATTGTTAAATTGTAGAAAAGAAAATACTACACACTGTATATTTTTTACCCAGTCCAAACCAGTGAAGGATTTTAAATCCTACAGGGCCCTGTGAAGCTTACCGTTTTGCCGGCCGGGGAGCTCTCCTCCTCCTCTCCGCCTCCGATCCTCCTCTTCAGCTGAATGCGCATGCGCGGCAGGAGCTGTGCGCGCATTCAGCCTGTCCCATAGGAAAGCGTTTACAGTGCTTTCCTATGGACGCTGGCATCTTCTCACTGTGATTTTCACAGTGAGAAGCACGCAAGCGCCTCTAGCGGCTGTCAATGAGAGAGCCACTATAGGCTTTAGAGGCTGGATTAACCCATTTATAAACATAGCACTTTCTCTGAAACTGCTATGTTTATAAAAAAAGGGTTAATCCTAGAGGGACCTGGTACCCAGACCACTTCATTAAGCTGAAGTGGTCTGGGTGCCTAGAGTGGTCCTTTAATGTTTAACTAGCTTTTGACACAGCATCTTAATTTCATGCTTAGAGGGCAAAGCGATGTTACTTTATGTTATATGAATGCCTAAGCAACGAAAATCGACACTGTTCATTACCTAACTTAACCTTACAAAAATGTGCTGGATCAACCATGTACCTCTTGTTTAACTGTCTATAATGTGCCCGCAGGGTTGTCAAACATGCGGCCCCCCCAGATGTTGCTGAACTACAACTCCCATGATTCCCTGGCTATCTGTTTCATTGAAAGAATCATGGGAGTTGTAGTTCAGCAACATCTGGGGGGCCACATGTTTGACAACCCTGTGCTAGAGGATTGTCTTTGGGGTACCTCACAGGCAACTGTACCAAGCTTACGCACTACAAAAAATAAAGAATTAAAAACAAAATATTGACGAAAAACATTCATTTATATACTAATGTATATGATGTTTATGGGATGTGCATAACATATAATTAAAGGAACACTATAGCGTTAGGAATGCGAACATGTGTTCCTAATACTGTACAGTTCCCCTACCTATGTAGGTACCACGCACTCATACAGTGGTTTAGAAGCTGTGTTTTAGTTGCTTTACATCCTGTGGTGTGGTGTGGTGTGTCTATGCGATCTCTCCGACTTCCTGGCAAAGATCATCATTCTCGATGATCTCAGTCAATCCAATGCTTCAAATATGATAGCGTTGAGAGGCTAGTGCACATGTGCATCAAAGCGCTGCACAGGATCTGCCAAATGCTCTCAATGAGAGTTATTTAAGCTATAACATTGTACAGCACTATGGAATTTGCTGGCACTATAAAAATAATAATAATTATAATAATAATAACCGTGTTTAGGTTGGTTATTGGCTCCTTAATGACTGAAGGAACAGAAAGACAGATAAGACTGTATTATATAGACAAATTTATGCAGGTTCTTGTCACATCTCATCTGATACTGTCTCAAATCATTCAATACATTAAGAAAGATCAAGGCCAAATAGCGATTAACTATTAATAAAGTAATTTTGAAAATACACATAATACTTTATCTTTTTTGTAGTTTTTGTTATTGATGTTTCTTCTCCCTCTTGGCATTACTCATGCCATCCGAACATTAATTTTAACATTGTACAATACTATTCCCTCTAATTAATTTAGGATCATGTGTCATTCTTTCACCAAACACGTACGTTTACACCTCGAAATTATGACTGAGCTTCTCAATCACACCAATCAGTTCTACTATATAAACTATCCTGTCCTGTCTGGAGTTGTCCTTTTGCGGTTCTTAACTGGTAAATAATTTCCTGGTTTCCCTGACATGGCTAATTTATTATTTATTATGATATCTGGATTCATTAACTTTGGCTTGTTACTTGATTATATTTTTTTCTGTTCTTAGGTACTGCTATTCTACCCTGTTTGGAGGTACTGTTTTAAAACATTTTAAGTGATTTCATGACTTATTTACTAATAACAATTTATGTACCTGAAATGTAATTCAGAGCAAGAACAATGTGTATATACAAAAAATACTATAAAAGAGGGAAATTAGGATAGAAAAGCATGACAGAGGGATTTGAACCTGTTGTGGACAAAAATATTAACCCAATTTATGCTAGTAAAATGCCTATTTACTCAGTATAACCACAATCAGCATTATTCAGCATTATACGTGATTTACCTAAGATGGCCGCTAGGGAGTTTCCCCTTGTCATCGACTAACACCCTCACTAACAAGATGGCGCTGGAATCTGGGGGAGACCTCCATGATGCCAGTGACATCACACCCGGAAGGAAGAGCAATAGATGAACCACTTAACACCTAACCAATTATTGATTTATTATTTCATGTTATCTCTGACAATGCATATGATGTAATTTTGCTTTATAAGGGGCATGCCGTCCCCCTGGAATAAACTCTTCCTCAAGTTTTTCATTAACCCGAGACCTGTGTCTGGTGTGAATTACTTCAGGAGCGTGCACGCATACTTTAATTTGACCAGGGGGGAAAAAAGAGGTGATAAATTATTTGATTGATTCCACAACAAACCCAAACTAGGGGCTGCCCCTCCTAAACTGGAGGTATGTGATATTGTGAAGTGAATGCATTAACTCTATAAAATAGCTTAATTTTGCTGATTCAACTAAATCAGCTGAGTTGCACAGTGATAACCCAATTACCTGATAACTATCAATAAGACTGTACACATTTTGACAAGTAATATTTAGAAATAAAATGCTATGGTGCAGAACTCTAGAACTTCTATTAACAATTCTTTACATGCGCTGACCATGTCAGTGAAAATGAAATTCATGTTTATAATGAAAATAACAGCACTGTGAGTGTTTTATATCTCGGCAAAGTCAGGTTTAATGGGCGATGCTCTACGTTATTGGATCTCATCCTCTTACTTTCCTGTTTTTATTGCAGGGTTCTGGTTAGAGCACATTCATAGAAGAGAATCAAAGTCCTTTTGTAATAAAGAAATAAAAGTTATATATATAGTGGTAGTGGTAAGATTGAAGAGATGAGAGACTTTTCCCCTCCGAATTGTAACATAAAACAATTAAATCTTTCATCAGTTTTAGGAAGTCACACAAAACATCTAAACTCATATGTAAAGTGGGAATTAAAGAGAGTTGATAAGGGAATTATAGCCAAATTAGTCAAAGTGATGTAGTGGTTATGGTGCCAAGAGTGCCCTAGTGCCCACCATTTTACGTAGTCTCCCCATTTTAGAACTGTCTGATTTCTTACCTAAAGTCTACCTGCACTACTTTCACCAGAAAGTCGTAAGCTCTTGGTCTGAACTAAGCCCGGTGGTGCAGTGCTTAAAGGCACTATAGGGGCTTTGGGTCCCCCCCACCCTCAGGGTCCCCCTCCCGCCGGGCTCAAGAGGGGTTAAGGGGTTAAACACTTACCTTTCTCCAGCGCCGGGTTCCCTCCTCCCTCTTCCGACGTCAGCGCTGAATGCACATGCGTGGCAAGAGCCGCGTGCGCATTCAATCAGTCCATAGGAAAGCATTTCTCAATCTGCACTGGAGGATACCATATTAGGGACTTATCTGCTAAACAGTGTAATGTTCAAAATACAGAAAAGCCCCTTTTCTTAATTTTGGCCTTTGAGTTGATTAATAGATAAGTCTCTAATTAAGTATACTTAATTATGGCAATCCCATCTAAGAATACCAAATTAGCAAGCTATCTACTAAATAGTCATAAATCCTTTTTTTTAAGTTTCCTATTTTGCTTTTTCTTAAATTTGTTATTTCAGTTGCCTAATAGATAAGTCCCTAATTTGCTTTTGTTATGAAAACAAATGGATCCAAAATCATTTAAAACTTTTGCATATTTTGATATTTTGAAAAAAAAAATCGTTTTAAAGGTTTATCCAAAATATGAAATCATTTGAAAATGTATCCAATAATATTAAACTGAGGCCAAACTTTGACTTGTAACAAAACAAATTGCTGATATCTAATATATATGTTTAAGTCAGCTAGTAGCATTTCTATCCAGGATTCCAATGACTAGCTGTCATTAACAGGTGGAGGAATAGATGTTGCCTGCCATAGTTCCACTTACAGTCTTTCTTTTAGCATAAAGAAATATGCACTAATTTCACTATGTGTGTTTCTAAGGAACTGAAAATAGAAGGTTTCTGTGGACCAAAGATAAGTTGTATCAGTGGAAATCCCTGGTTATTTTTATTATCACCATATATTATCTCTGCAAGCTGGGCCTATACTTGTTTGTTCCTGGCCTGTAATTATTTCTATTACAACCTTGTAAAACTGTCACTGTCAGGGTTGATGTTGTATAACACAGCCAATACATGTATACAAGTGTACTCAACATCACAGGGAAGTTGTCCTGAGAAATCATTTATCAGTTGTACAGATGTGTAGACATTGTCCTGTTCAGACTTCGCATCATAACGCTCGTGCTATCTATAATAATTGCTGTGTGACCACACCTAGTCCATTAGTAATTGTACAGACTAAAATACAAGATCATTACTCTGGGATCTGGGGATTAACAGGCAGGAAGAGGATCAGACTGCATCACAAAGCCTTCAGCAAGCAGAGAATCACAGCTACAGGGTGAGAGAGGCAGGACTGGGTAAACACAAAGTTCCATGAAAACCACATTTTAAGGTAAGAGTTGCTGGAGTCGAAATTATACATAATATATATATATATTCCATAATGTAAATGGTATGCATGGATTATTATCAGTTACGGCAAAGACAAAACTTTGCTCCTGGCTGGAGTTTAGTGGAAATTATATCAATGTAGAACAGATGCTATTATTATGTAGCTGTCATATTTATTTCTTTAGTAAGTTGGCCTTATTAAACACTTTACCCCATAACAGGACCTGCTTTAACTTGGTTATTTTACCTTATACTGTGATAGGCGTAATGTGCTTTAAAAGGAAAGATAATATGTTTATAAAGATATGGTCAACCGATGCTGCATTTCTAATAAACTTGTGATGTCTTTCTTTCTCTTTTCTCCGTCTTTCTTTTTTCTTTCTTTCTCTTCTTTTTTTCTCTCTTTCTCATTCTCTCTTTCTTTCGATCTTTCTTTCTTTTTCTTTCTCTCTTTCTTTCTTTCTTTCTTTCAATCTTTCTTTCTTTTTCTTTCTCTCTCTCATTCTCTCTTTCTTTTTCTTTCTCTCTTTTTTTTCTTCTAATCTTGCAGTACGCAGTTCTGTAAGTACGACTCATATCAAATAAGTACAGTAAGGGTTTCAAAGAATAATTAACGTCTTTTAATTTTACAAGAATAAAATATAAAAATATATCCTTTTTATTAAATATTGGAAAAAAACAGTATGTTTGATTTCCATTTATGTAACTGTGTACATTTGCTGTGGAAAGTACTTGTTAAACTATAATTATATTTGACTAGTGCAGGACATCTTTGATCCCATAAACCTTGGTTTGCAAGTACATTACAAGCAATTATGACATTAAATATTTAAGCCTGTATTGTTGTTTGAATGGATTAATGTTTGATGCATGCTGATGGCATTGAACAATGAACGCCATAAAGGGAATTGATTGAAAGGCCACTTTTAGAATATCTTCCTATAATAATAGATGTGAGAAAAATTGAAAATAAAGGGAAACCTCTTGAACCAAATAAAACTAAGAAATGATGGTTATCTACTAAATATTACTCTAAAACTGGTGTATAGGGACACCATAGAAAACACTCTGTATAAACATTAATACAAAGTATGTCAGATAACAAACAATGTCAAACCAGGAACTAGTAGACAGTGGTGCTAAGCGATAAAAACGTGTGTGTGTGTATATATATATATATATGTATATCCGCATGTAACAGTATGTAAACTTAGACTTATTTAGATTATACATTTTATGCATTGATTTATTTTTAATCTTTCAAAATTATATCTTAAGTTTTTATCTGTTAGTACCGCTATAATTTAAGATGTTGTTCAGAAACTAAATGTACCTCTTTTTTTCACATATCATATAGGTGCTATACTAGCTTTTTTGTTTGCAAAACATACATTGCATCATAACTGTGTTAATATTTTAAATCTGATTTTTAGATATGGTAATGGCATAGAATTACACTGAACTATAGAATGGTAAAATGCAAGAGTATATTATTTAATAGTAGTAATTGCATAATTTCATGCTGGAATTTACATTAGATAATACTATATATTATTTAATTGTGTAGCCTATATTTTTTTTAATGCTCACATTTTTTTTGTACACATTTTTACAGTTTGGTGAAATTCATACTGCACCAATTTACTTTCATCTCATTGTTTTCAATATTAGTACAGGCTTTATGATAAAAGTACATGCTTCATGATTTAACCAACAGGGTTATTTACTAAGGTGAGAATTCAAAGTGAATTTCAAATTTATGGCCAGAATAGCCAAACTGATTTTTTCCAGTTTGGTTGTTTTCACCTTGAATTTGAAATTATCTTTGAATTCACCTTAAATTCTCATTTTAATGAATAACCTTGTAATAGAATATAGAAACATAGAATGAGACGGCAGATAAGAACCATGCGGCCCATCTAGTCTGCCCAATATTGCCTTATAGTCAGGAGATAAATTGATTTCAAAAACAGGCAATGCAACAAAGTAAACCCCTGTCAGATATGTCCATTATTAGCAGTATTTTGTACATAATTGGAAAGCGGTACAGGTACATCCAAATGATCCGTATTTACCTCAATGTGGTTATTATGTATTATATTGACCCGTTAAATATTGATGGCATGAACTTGCCAGTATCCTGGTTAATATTACAATGCATTACCAGTTTGGTATCCATAGCCTAATAAATGTGTTTAATGGAGTTCAATGACTTTCATGGTATGTTTGCTGCAGTGTCCTGGCTCTCAGTGGATTCTCTCTGCTTTGTCTGTACAGGGAGTCTCCAGGCCCAGGTGCAGGGCCAGCTGCAGATGGTTATGGCTGCCAGGCATTCGTTCGCTGTCCATTTCCTCCTGGTGCTGAGAGAGATGCTGGCCTTCGTGCTGTTCAGTTACACGGTGCTCATCGGGGCTCTCTTGGTGGCTGGATGGACTACTTACCTTCTTGTCCTCAAATGATAATTTTTCGAGATACTGTATGGATTCCCAAAAGGATGTAGGCATGCTGTCTCTTTAAGAGTGTATCCCTCTCCTATCTCCTGTCTGTTTCTCTCTAATAAATTAATGACAGCGTGCTGCAATGATTGCTGAGTATTATATAGTATGTTAATATAGCCCAATTGTCTGGTATTATATAAGATTATATATTTATATGCCGTATCATTTTATGTTGGAAATAATGGACCAGTACTGCCTTTCACACAATAATGTTGCTGCTGTTGATACAAATAAGTCAGTCGCACATTGTTATATTTATATTTTATAGAGTTATGTCTGTGCTTGTTACTGGTATTCCAAAAGGTATAGGTAATGTTTCATACAATGCAAGCAATATATGGGAATTAGCCACACACATCTTCTATTTATCACTAGAGGGGGCACAACATGGGCAAGGCAGAGGGCCTAAAAGGAAAACACATTGTATTTTTATCATTTTACAGGAAATAATGAAGAGTGGATCACAAGAATGAAGATTTAAATCCAAATATTGTATTTTGCTAGTAGTGAGTTTTCCTTTATCGACTATGTTATTGTAAGTCAGTTGGTTTTGTAGGATTTTGTCATGATACAATTTTTTATGCCTACTGTGCAGGTAGCAGTGGAATGTTGTGTACAGGTTACCCAGGAATAAAAACCCTTATATATTATTTAATGTTGTATTTTCAGATTGACTTATAAGTCAGGTTTGTAACTATTTATATGCCAAACCACAAACTGTTATATGTAAAATGCTGTTGTTGTTGTTGTTGTTTTTTGTGTTTTTTTTTTTTTTAAATGTAGTTCTCTTTTATGTGAATGAAACAAGATATTTAATATTTATTTTCCTGGGTATATAATACAACTCTATTTCGTTATTATTATTTATTATTAATAGTAGTAGTTCTTATACAACACAAATGGTTTCCCCAGACGTTACAATTATACAGTAGCGGTATTTACCAATAGGTAATTGACACACAGTAATAATGTTGACAGACAAAAGAGGTGAAGAAGACCGTGCCGAGTTTACAATTTATTGATGCGTTTATTGGGCTGAGCACCAGTGGTGTTAAGTATAAAACATACATCAACAGCATTTCCATTTACTGGAAGATGCCATCTCCTTATAATATCCTCAGTGCACTTATTGCATCTCCAGAGAAATGCCTGAACACATGAACAAAGACCCCCTCTTTCAGTAGTGCCTGTGACACTGTGTGGGCCAAATTAATTTGCATGCTGTTATTTGGCTGTGCACAACCCATAGCTAACGTTAATCAGGTGTCTGGATGTACAAAAATCTCCCAATAGAAATTAAATGGGCACTACTCATCATTGAAGTGATAGATTAAGCTCTACGTGATCCTCCAAATATCAAAGAGCTTGACTATGAACCAAAATTGTACTCTTGGTATCAACAGCATAAAAGAATGGGCTTCAGGGTTGAACGTGGTGGACTCTAGTGTTTTTCCAACCCAGACAACTATGTAACTAAAGGAAATAAAGAGGCACATTTAGAAGTTAGCCCTGGTTAACTTCCTCTGCATGTATTCTGTTAAAATACTGGCACTAGAATGACAAAAATCCACAAAAGGTGTAGTTATTGGGTTATGTATTATATACCAAATTATTCCTAAATATTTTAATTTGTAAATAGATTTGTACTTTTAAAGTTTGCCTTGCAGGATACATTAAAATATGGGTGGCAGTGGGATTGCTAAGTATTTTTTTTATATTAACTGTCAAACTGCTGCCTTCTTCCCTCATATAGTTTACAGCAACTTGGCAGTTTATATAAAATACAGACTAGTAGAACACGCTTTATTAAACCCCAATCTTTCAACAGCTTAACAGAATCTTTTTAAAGTATTGCTAGAGCCGTGCGTTCCTGCAGCCAGAGAGATGACATTTTCCTATCAAGACACTTTAGGCAATATTCTAGATTCAATTCCTGAAAAAGTCTTGAAATGGTCAGGCCTCCTCGTAAATGTCTGTGCATTGGGCATTTGAGGCCAATTCAGTCTATTATGTGTGCTAACAGAGTGCATGTAGATTGTTGTCCTGTTACTTCTGTAATGGCTTTATACTGTAATTAATTATTTAATAGAAAAACAGAATGTAATAAACCAATTACTTTACAAGATTGTAGTGTATTTTATGGTTATTATATCTTCATTCTGACTATAGCAAATGTATTGGTTTTTTTTATATATTTTTTAAAATTGTACCATCATCTTGGGCTATTTACAAAAATGTACAACTCTTTAGTGAAGAATACATGGAATATAAATAGAATATCTGGAAACATTAGAATGATACATTTCTCAGTACATATAATTGAGAAATAAAAATACAAGAAACAAATAGAAACCAATGTGAAGTAGGAATGAGGGTCATTAACTAAAAAATAAGAAAAGGGTATTTAAAGCACTTAAATGAACACTCTAGTCCCCAAATGGGCAAAACATTAGAGATCCCTATTTAGTAGATACATTCCCCAACAATACATGCATTTCTTTTCATACATGTATTTATTTGGGGTATATCTTCTTATGAACTGCAGCCTTTGCAAACTATCCACTTTTCCCCTTTTCATGGGGAAGTAGTCCTATCAGAGTCCCTCCTCAATGCACACGTGCATGATCAGCATACTGATCTAAGGTCTGTGTATACTGGTCTGATGTCCGACCAAAGTTATGCAGGGGGAGGCAAGTGCACTCAAGTAGAGCGTGCCTGACACTTCCGTTAGCTCAGGGTAGCTAATGGAGCAGGAAGATTCCCCTTGGCTGTTTGATTGACAGCCAGGGGGGTGTTACATTAATTATTTATAAAAGTACCTCTTTTATAAACTGTCATTATTATTGGATATTCCTCACCCACTTCAGCAAACTAAACTGATAGCCAAATAAAGCAAAACTATGCATGCAGGGGTGTATTTTTTGCAGTGTTAGTTTTTGAATACAGGGTGGTTTTGTGTACAATGTTGGTATTTAAATGTAGTAGTGCGTTTCTGTGTAGTGTTAATGTTTGCATGCAGTGGTGTATTGGTGTATAGTGTAGGAATTTGAATCCAGGGATGTGTTTGTATGCAATGTTGGTGTTTGGTTGTAGGCACGTATTTACATCTACACATACATTGCCATGCACAAATACAGATGCACATGGCCACACAAAGAAACACACAAACAGTGCCACACAAAGATACACTGCCACACACCTGTGGGGGCAATGGTGTGGGAGCTCTGCACCTGTTTAAATTGTTGCTGCATAAACAATTACATGAACATTTGGATTGGATGACTCAAGACAAGCTGCTGCAGCAAAGGGTCAGATGGTATTCACCCAAGAGTACTTAGGAACTAAGTGAGGAAATAATCAAACATATGTTTTTAATCTTAACAAGCTCAACAATAGCTGCATTATTTAAAAAACAACATGCAAAGAATGAGCATGGATTAACTGCAGCTTTTTGTATATCACAATTAATTGCAAAAAGTGTTAAAAGCCATAATATTGGAGAAACATTGATAATACCCTCTATCAAAGAATTTATTAAACAGTAATGCATCAGGATATACCAGCAGTTTTAAACACATTGCCCCTTAGCAATAGCACAGTAAAGAGACGAAATGGCGGTTAATGTTGAAAATAAACTTATAGGTATTCTTAAAAATTCTTAATTTTCCATACAGTTGGACGACTCTGTCATTGCCTATAATAATGATCTACTGATGACATATGTACGGTACGTTGATGAAAACAATACATTGCAAGAAGAATGGCTATTCAGTGTCCATCTTTTTACAGATACAAAAGGGTTATCAATATTTAATGCTGTAAAATCATCCTTTGCAAAAAATAATATACCCTTGAACAATATTGTTGCATGTGCTACTGACAGAGCACCATCATTGGTAGCTCGCTATCGTGGATTTGTTGCTTATCTGAAGGAAGAAGTGCCAAACATTTTGTGTATTCATTGTGTTGTGAACAGACAACATATTGTAGGAAAACATTTAAGTACGTCTCCATTCATCATTAAGTATAATAATTAAAGCTGTAAATAAGATCAAATCTAATGCCAAAGATGATAGAATGTTTCAACAGCTGTGCCAGGATAACAGCGAGATTTTATTAGGTTACTTTTACACACAGAAGTTCGATATCTCTCAAAGGGTACAGTTTTTTGAAAGTAATAATGAGGCTGGTCTCTATGAACAGTTAAAAACAGTAAAGAATGATGCCTTTTATTTGGCAGACATTTTCAAGAGATTTAATTAAATTAATAAGCAGTTTGAAGGAGCCAATATAACTCTTATAAGTTGCAAAAATATTATGTCATTATTTATGGAAAAGCTTGATCTTTTCCATCATAATATTTTCATAAAAGATGCTGTAACTCCAGAGGAGATTGAAAGGTTCAGTAGCCACCTCAATGAAGTTAAATTGGATATGGAAGAACGATTTCAAGATATTTTGAACTTGAAGGTGCGAGAATGGATGATGAATCCTTTTACAGCAAATGTTGCTGAGGTTGATATAAGTTGCCAAGAAGAACTATTAGAACTTAAATATAACGAAGAGAGTAAATGTAATTTCGGCAGTGGTGGATACCAAAAATACTGGCAAAATAAAACAAAATGCCAGCATCATATCCAAATAAGTGGAAAATTATATTCAATTTATTGATACCTTTCCCTACCACATATCTTGTAGAATCAGGCTTTAGTGCTGTTAATCATATTATGAGCAAACAGAGAAACTGTATGAATATCACAGAAAGAGGAGACCTTTGTTTGTTATTTACGAAAATTGAACCAGATATCAAATATTTAGTCTCACAGCATCAGCCTCAAGGATCTCATTAATCACTAGTTAAAGGTAATTTCAATTTACTTTATTGTTTTCTCATTAAACTTTATAAAGTTAAAATCATTATAAACATGCATAACGTAGAAATAAAAATGTAAATTTACTGCAACACTGGGGGTGGTAAGGAAATGTTTCCATCAAGAAAGATGCATTAGTGGGCGGTAGGTATTAAAAGGTTAACGACCCCTGCCCTAAATGATAGTGAGTTAGGGAAAACAGCACATGAAAAGGATTTGGGAATAGTTATAGACATCAAACAATGTTAACAATGTCCAATTTCAATCAGCAGTTCCTAACGCCATGCATTAAAGGAGGCATTAATTCTCAGGACCAAAATATAATGTTGCCTCTTTATAAATAACTGGTAAGAACACACTTGAATCTGCTGTGAAATTTTTGACACATGTTCTAAAGAAGGATATTATGGTACTAGAAAAGGTGTACGTTTAATAAGGGGAATGGAAGATTTTAGTTATGATGAAAGTCTTAACAAAGTCTTAGAAAGTCTTAACAAATTTAGAAAATGGATCCCACTGACATATGAAGGAAATTTTCAGTGCCCTGTAAATGGGCATTATCCCAATGCAGACGGGAAGGACAATGTACTGTGCAAAAAGTGTGTGGTTCCAACTCCCCTGTAGAAGTTGGTTACTCAATCAAAATGGAAAGTTCTCTATTAACGTTGAATAATTTCACAGTTTTCATGGAAGCCAGGTGGGAGAGGTCTTAGACAAAGCCAAACTGTCAAAGAGGCTGCAGATGAAATCTGGCAAATTCCCTTTAATTAGCATTGGTATCATAATTTCTTATAACTTTTCCCTTTGAGTATAATCCGAAAATTTACTTTTGCCAATGTGTCATTTGATTGTCAAAATATATCAAAGCTATATAGCTATGATTTAGGACATATACAGAATACAGAACAAAATTGTATAAGTAAGGTTACAGTCATTTTCCCAGTGACTCCCACGCAGCAGGTAAGTACTGCTTATCATGTCATGTCCCTCCTTGTTATTTTTGATCCAGTGTCCTCTCCCGGCCTTCAAGGCCCGGATGTGAGGGTTCCTTCACAATATCCCCCCAGATCCCAATCGCCCTGTCTCCTGATGACTCTGAACCCTAGACCCCTGTTCACCATGCATCTATGCATCTCCCCCAGCAGGGGCTCTATGCTGATCACCTGTATGTTAATCATTGCTGAAAATGTTCCTTATAGGCTGAAATGAAACTGAACTGTGTCAGGTTTCAGTATATGTCTGCAACCGATTCTGGAGCTGTAGTTTTACAGCATGTGGTCAAATGTTACCTAACAACCAGAATATTCCAAATAGAATATGCTTGTGATATGTATGCTCATAAAAAAAAACAAAAAACTTCTGGCCAAATTTGTTCAGACCACAAAAGCCTATCATGCCTTTCAGCATGATGATTATTCCAGCAATACATATTTACTTGAAATATAAGGTCTAGTGTGGCATGTGATGTATTTTCTAGTACTATTCACACAGTAATGCTTGGAGGACCCCACTAGTAGCAGGTCAGTTTATATTCCATAAACTACGAATACAGAAGGACAATAGAGGTGTCACTCTCTGTCTATCATTCCTTTCATGTCACTATAATGGCTCTTGCTATGAAAACAACACACCAGAATGGTTAAGGATAACATAAAACTGAAATTTACTGTCCCTGCAGGCATTGACATATAATTTTGTTTTATAAACGAGGGATAAGTGACACATTAAAGTTGTGTAATGAAAGGACCACTGCAGGCATTATAGCAATTTCATCACAATGAGGTTGTTATAGTGCGAGGAGGTCCCTGACAACATCTTACCTTAAGGCATTTAAACCGTTAACAAATGTTTAAACCCCAAATGTTCAAAGACAGTGCATACTCACTTTGACGAGCTACTAAGATCTTACACTTCAGCCTATCAGTACCCAATCTGAGGATTCCTAATTGAAGCTTTGGACCTGTGAAGGAAGTAGCTGGGCATTCTGAGGCAGTTGTTATGGTGCCTGCAATGTCCATTTAAAGACAATGCGAGGTAGTACAGAAATCTGATACACTTCTTTTCTGGAATGGTAGAAAAATCTCTAGGATTCCCCAAATATAACTGTTATTAAATAATTTAAAACACATCAAATAGAGATAACGAACAACACACAATTATAAAGTTAAAACAGTGTTGTCAGCTATCAGGGAATCTTTATTTTTGCTCAACCTAACATTATAAACTTCATTACATTTTATAGACAGACCTTTCTTTACATTCAGATGCCTTATTTAGATTATTTTGATTCCCTGACAGCTAACAGCATTTTTTAAACATTTTAATTGTGTGTTGTTTATTATCTCTATTTAATGTATTTTCATTTATTTAATAAAGGTAATATTTGAGGAAGGTTGGAAAGTGTGTCAGTTCTGTTTTTCATTTAGTATTTGTTAATTTTTTAGGGGTTACCCTCCTTCTTTTGTCTTCCCAACTTGACATGTGTATTCCTTAACTTTTCTCTTCATTTAGAGCTCTATGATTCCTACATCAGCAAGACAAATACTACTAAAGTAATGACATAATTTATTAAAACAATAGATTTGCCCAAAGAGTGGTAGCTAAAGAACACCCTCATGGCCTACAGCCCTGTGTATGGACAGTCTTGTAGATAATATTTGTAGATTAAGCATAGTAATGGAAACCTCGGTAAAATTGGACAGCCTTTAGACGGTTCAATAATGGGCTAGAAAATAAATAAAAACTGTGCTGACTTTGGGTATTTTGAATCTTGTGCAAGTGATGTTTGTAGACGCAAAGTAAATCAATGGACATTGTTTTAAAGGGTTTCTGGAAAGCTGCAAAGTACTTCTGTTCCTATTTTTATCTGTAATGTGTCATGTGATTGGAGGAAGGTTATTCAGGACACGTATATAGTCTGAAATTGTGGAAAATGTGTTTTACACAATGAAACCACTAGGGACAGTCTGACCGGGCAGGTCAGCAACCTTTTTCCGCACGAAGGCCGGATGTCCTGTCATGCAATGGATGGAGGGCTGAATTCATATCTTTAGCTACTCTTCTCTCACTTCTCACTTCCACTGATCCTCAGCATACCCTCAGTGTTCTGCCCCAGTGATATCCTTCTCTCAGTTCTCACTTCTATTGTCCCTCTTATTTAGCAGTGTCCCCCAAGTGCCACCCTTTTCCCTATATAATAACCATTGTCTCTCTCCTTTAGCAGTGTACCATTTTCTCAATTCTCACTCCTATTACCCCTTCTTCTTTAGCAATGTCCCCCAGGATTCTCTCCACGCTTTTCTTGAGTAGTATCCCCCAGTGTCATCCTCCTCTCAATTCTCACTATTGCCCCACTTCTTTAGTAGTGTCTCCTTGTGTTCTCTCCCTCTCCCTACATTCTCCAGGGTGTGGGAATTTAAAGAGACTAAAGCGGTAGCCAAATATATTTTTCCATCATGACAATCTATTTGTCCCGACACAAAATAATGTCAAATTAGAGAGTTGGAGGACCCTGTTTAGAGCTGGAAATAGGCAATGATATACACTACATTTTCCCAAATGAATTTCATATGGAAAAACTGAATCAAAAATAACTGATCTGTAAAAATTATTCAACTTTTCTATAGTCATAACATGCTTTGTTTGCCTCTGTTTTGAAAAATTCGGATTTAATTTGCAAAAATTAGTGTCTCGTCCACTGTCCTCCCCCTTAGTGTGTGCATGGTGGCTATATGTAATGAGTTAGTGTTTTTTTTTGTAAATTAATGTTTATTTGACCACGTTTCTTAGAAATAAAAATTACACATTGCATATATAACATGTTTATACCCATAAATGGTGAATATATTTTTGTGTGTATATTTCAAATACTACTTATGTTTGTTCGGTGCATTCTAGTGAATAAAGTTATGAAGGAAGATGAATTCTTGCCAAACATGTTGACTATTTTTTTTTTTCCAGCCGTGGGCAATGCTTTTTTCTTTCTTTTGTAAGGAGTTTGTGTTGACTATGTGTAATGTGTGTGCTGGGTGTATGTAATATTTATGGGGTGTGTGTTGTGTACTGGTTTATGTAATATGTGTGTGTTGTATGCTCATGCATGTAATGTGTGATTTATGTAATTAGTACTCCTGAGTCCTGATGGATTTTCCTAAATCACTGGTGGTCCAGTGGGGAGGGTCCTATCACCCTGGTGGTCTAGTTGAGTAACTTGAATTACAGACATGATGATCCTAGCCCGACATGTCCACCTACTGCCACATTTTTCCGAGCACTGGGTCCCACATAAACAAAGTAGACATTTTATTTTAAAGATTATTTTTTTATTTTATTTTTTGTATCAAATGCATCATGTATCAAATGCATCGTTACGAAAAGTAACTGTGCTACCTTAAACAAGTTATCTCAATAATTCAGGAACCAATAATATGTCAGGTATTCTCCAAAATTACCCAACTCGGCTACAGTTCCCAGGTTGTCTATTGTAGCCTGTACCCGCAATTCTAAGTCTTATTGAGTGCAGAGGGGCGTAAACCTAGCATCTGGTTATTGATATGAAAACCCATGCAGTATATTGCAGACAACTCGCTGATAGTTGGATTCACGCAAAAGTACCAATTATACTCTCGGGGCATGACAGTAATGCAGGGATGAAAACAAAATCTCAACCTTCCCAGCAACACTTCCTGGTTCATTATGAGAGCACTTCCGCCCTTAGTTGTCAGCTGCCAATTAGTCATACTGCGAATGACGTCACTTCCGCCTGCCACCTGTAAGATGGCGACTCTCAGTAGAAGGTTGCTGTGTACCTTCACTTACGTTCTCAGGTATCCTACTGGGGGTTCTAATAGAGAACGTTGGGATTCATTCTTTGTTATATGTGAATTTGAAGTTGTAGTGTGCAAGGAGAGGGAATGGGTGGTATCCATGTAGGTGTACTTGTTACATGTCATCTGTGTGTTTCCTGTATTCGAGGGACACTGGTTACTGTTTGTTTCATCATATTAACTTTAGCTATAAAGGCATTCGCAGTAGGCTGAGGCGTACTTTCTCTTAACACGCCTTGAAGTGACTAGCTCTGCTATTGATGTTTTCTGTGTGAATATCAATCTTCTCACAATATAAACTGTATATCTAAACATACGATGGTGTTTGCGAGTGTAAAGGTGGACACAAACTTACTGGGAGATAATAGTGTCAGCTTAGTGTTTTGTTAATGTTTACAGTAATGCTTTGCTTTTTGTTTATTTTTCAGGCAAAACTTCCCCATTCTCCGAAGAGGAAACTACATTAATATACTCAGAAGTTCATGGCTCAAAATAATTCCCGTGGGTGTTGGTACAAGCCTATGTGCAGTTCCTGTTGGGCAGGTGATGTAGCATTTCAGAAATATTGTCTTATTATTAAAATAAACATTTTATGTTGTGTTGCTATTGTAGAATGGGTAATTTTATAATCACACCACAATTGCATAAGGCATTCTGTCCAACTATAGAAATATTGTTATTGTACAGATATAGGGGTATATATTTACATATTTGGGAATTACGTACAATATTTTGTATATAGGAAGAAACAGACAAAGTTGGATATCTTTCGACCTATATGGTCTGTTTGAATCAAATTTAAAAGCTTATGTTAAAGGAACACTCTAAGTACCATAATCACTGCAGCTTGTTATTGTGATTATGGTGCTAGCAGACTGCTTTCCCTTCCCCTGTTTTTGAGCAGTTTGACACAAGCCAAGGGTTCCCAATGTGCATTTGGCCGATGATGCAGAAGACACACCTTTTAATGAGCAGTTAGAATGTTGTTCCTAGTTAGATAGCATTGATTGTCATCTGACCCTTAGACATTCTCAGCCAATCACAGACATTCCAAGTTGGATGAAATTGAGATGTCCTGTGGGGACATGTAGCTTCTACAGCAGCAATACAAATAGGAAAGGCCAGGCTGAGGCCTTTTGTTTGTCTAATCACTGAAACAGTTTGATACCAAACTGGCAAACTTTGCAACAATGGGCTGTAGTGGTTAGGGTGCTTGTATTATTTGCTCTCAAATTAATTTTCCATTCCAAATTGATGGCTGTATTTTGAGGTAACTGTTGCAGCTAAGCTTTTAAAAATGCAGACTGAATGGCTAATTATTGTCTTGAAACTTTTTTGTCTTGTTTATTATTTTATTTACTCTCATCAGTTCTGGTTGTAGACTGTAATTGAACCACATTTTAGTATGCTTGTAGTTCTTTACTCTAAACTATGTGTGTATATAATGTATGTATCTATGAATGAATATATATACTACACCACATACTATAAACTCTGTTTATGTTTGTAATTTTAGAGGTCTGAGCCCACACTCTCCAATGATTCTTTAATAAAGAGAGCCGCATGTTTGGTAACAGACAGTACACAAACCTTCCTATCACAGACAACGTATGCTGTTATTGAATCACTTACAGAATACACCACGGTAAGATGGATCTTTAGAAAGTGATTATCCTTACTTATGGGTTTATTTACTAAACTTTGAATTTTAGCAAGTTAAATCTTATTTGCAAAGTTTAAAGAGTTGATTTAGAAATCTGATTTTATTTTATTACCCACTGTAAAGCCCTGCGGAATTTGTTGGCGCTATATAAAAACATAATTTGATAGAGTTTATTGTATGGGCATACATATATTATTAGATCTTCAGCTACGTTAATTTTTTCAAGTATATTTAATGCATGGTTTAGAAAAAATAATTGCCACCTGGCAATATTGGCCTAACTGTTGCAATTTAGTTAATAATTTGTAGTTTAATGAATAACTCTATATGTCTCTCTCTTTTGCTGCTAATATGTTTTGGAGCTAAATCCTTCAAAAAAGTGACAGAGCTGAAATCTTTTTAGTCTAAATTTGTGTACTTAGTTTGTGGAAATGTTTACAGCCAATTTATCCAGTATGTAGTGCTACATCTGTTGCAGAACTAAAACTCCCATTATGCATTGCCACATTACATATAGCAATACATTATAGTAGTTATAGTTCTACAAACGCTAGAGGGATACCCCTTCTATTATTTGTAATGATTGTTATATGTGTCTTATATGGGTCGTGTTCAATGATAGTGCATGCTATAACACAATGAAATGTGTAGTGTATAATTTAAGTGCAGATAAATCTAAAACTTCAACACACGTTTATATTCCCCACACATGATTTGAGATTTATTTTTGAGAATGGTGTATAGTTAAAGGCATATAACACTAAAGAAATGATTTTATAATTTTTTATTTTTTCCAATATTAATGTTACCAAAAGTATTTAGAGATTGTAAACTTTTGATTCAAATTGGTAATCCAAATGTTTGTAAACTAATGGCTGTGTGTGTATAGTTAGACATAAAGATCATAGCCATCTGCCATACCACAGTTGCCATCATTGCAGTAGATTGCAGACAATACCACAAGCAAACAGAAAGCCACAGGAAAATTAGTACTGCTATGTTCCTTCAAGGGACAGTCATACCGTCACCTGCATGCACTTATGGATTTGTGTGTTGGGCTAATGTGGTTTGGATGCAGAGCTCTGTTTGTGTGGATGTTCAATGTAAATACAGTGGTGTTTATCTGAAGGTTCTGAGCGTGTGACTGCAAGAATAGGTTTTATTTTTGTTAAAGGACCACTCTAGGCACCCAGACCACTTCAGCTTAATGAAGTGGTCTGGGTGCCAGGTCCAGCTAGGGTTAACCCATTTTTTTTATAAACATAGCAGTTTTTCAGAGAAACGGCCATGTTTATAATAGGGTTAATCCAACCTCCAAATCCTCTAGTGGCTGTTTCATTGACAGCCGCTAGAGGCGCTTGCGTGATTCTCACTGTGAAAATCACAGTGAGAACACGCAAGCGTCCATAGGAAAGCATTGTAAATGCTTTCCTATGAGACCGGCTGAATGCGCATTCAGCCGAAAGGGAGGAGAGGAAAAAGGTAAGATTTAATCTCTTTCCTCTCCCCAGGGCCGGGCGGGAGGGGTACCCTGAGGGTGGAGGCACCCTCAGGGCACTATAGTGCCAGGAAAACGAGTGTTTTCCTGGCACTATAGTGGTCCTTTAAGGGTAAAGTAGTGTATAAAGTTACATAGTTGCATAGGCTGAAAAGAGACATGTGTCTATCAAGTTCAGCCTTTTTCACATTTGTTTTTTGCTGTTAATCCAAAAGAAGGCAAAAAAAACAGGTTAAAGCACTTCCAATTTTGCAACAAACTAGGGGGGAAAAAAATCCCTCTTGACCACAGAATGGCAGTCAGCTTTATCCTTGGATCAAGAAGCTATTACCCTACAGTAGAAAAATTATATAATTCAATTTGTGCAAGTATGCATCTAGTTGCTTTTTAAACATCTGTACTGACTCTTATAAACCACTTCTTCAGGCAGAGAATTACACGTCCTTATTATTCTTATGGTAAAAAAAAAACCTTTCCTTTGCCTTAGACTAAATCTTCTTTCTTCCAGTCTAAACGCATGACCTCGTGTCCTGTGTAAAGTCCTGTTTGTGAATAGATTTCCACATAATGGCTTGTATTGGCCCCAGATATATTTGTATAATGTTATCATATCCCCTCTGAGACAACATTTTTCTAACTAAATAGGTTTAAATTTCTGAACCTTTCTTCATAGCCAAAATGTTCCATTCCTTTTATTAAAGGGACACTATAGTCACCTGAACAACTACAACTTAATGTAGTTGTTCAGGTGAGATCTATAGCTCCCTGCAGGCAATCTAAGTCAGTCAGCTCAGCTCGCGGCCGCCCTATGAAGTGTGTGCGCATGTGCGGCAAAGCCATGCATGCGCACAAGGGAGCAGTGACGCTTCAGAATGGAAGCGTCTGATTGCTCGCGCCCGTCTATTTGGTCATTTTGACGAAATAGGGGGCGCCCTTCACGAGGCTCCCGGCGCTGGAACGAGGTGAGTAAAAAGGGCTGCCTGGAATGTCCCTTTAATTTTTGTAGCACACCTCTGCACTTTTTCTAGTGCCATAATATCCTTCTTTAGAACAGGGGCTCAAAATTGCACAGCATATTCAAGATGTGGTGTACCAGTGATTTATAAAAAGGCTAAATGATATTCTCATCCTTAGAATTAATGCCCCTTTTCATGCATGACAATACTTTACTGGTCTAAGCCACTGCTGATTGACATTGCACATTGTTGCATAGTTTCTTGTTTACAAAAATTCCCAAGTCCTTCTCATGTGTTATCCCTAATTCGCTTAAATGAAGGTTATAAATTGCTTGTGCATTCTTAACGCTGAAGTGCATAACGTTGCATTTTTCTACATTAAATTTCATCTGCCATATGAGTGCCCAGTCTATCTAAATCCCTCTGCAGCAAAGTAATATCTTGCTCACATTGTATTACTTTACAGAGTTTTGTGTCATCTGCAAACACTGAAACATGACTTTCAATGCTTTTTTTTCAAGATCCTTTATAAATATATGAAATAGGGACAATATCTACTTAGTATCAGTCAGAATACTTCAGATTGAATGAATGGTATATCTATACAAATAGGAGTCTGATACTTTATTGCAACTTAGAATCCGTTTCACTTTAAACTGACAGCCTGCTCGTAAATTTGAGCTAACCCCTACATCACTGTACCACGATACAGGCATTCTTCCTGATTTGCACCTTTTTTTTTTTTTTTTTTTTTTTTTTTTTTTTTTTTTTTTTTTTTTTTTTTTTTTTTTTTTTTTTGCTTGCCTTATATATTTTCCTGAGTTAGTAACGATAATTTGAATAGCAGGATTAAAGGACCACTTCAGCTCAATGAAGCGGTCTGGGTGGCAGGTCCATCTAGGATTAACCCTGTCTGCTGTAAACATAGCAGTTTCAGAGAAACTGCTATGTTTACTTTAGGGTTAATCCAGCCTCTAGTGGCTGTCTCATTGACAGCCGCTAGAGGCGCTTCTCACTGTGATTTTCACAGTGAGAAGATGCCAGCGTCCATAGGAAAGCATTGAGAATGCTTGCTTTCCTATGGGCTGACTGAATGCGCCTGAATGCGCATTAATCCGATGACGACCAAACGAGGAGGAGAGTCCCCAGCGCCGAGGCCGCCCGATGCTGGAGAAAGGTGAGTGTCTAACCCCCTTTCTCCCCCTTCAGCCTGGTGGGAGTGGGACCCTGAGGGTGGGGGCACCTAGTTTGTTTTCCTGGCACTATAGTGGTCCTTTAAGCCCCTTTTTGGGTATTTATTAGCACAGATCTTATTAGTCCTCCCCCCCCCCCCAAATGGAGATTATTGATAAATATCTTGTGAAGAGCTGTAACTTCAAGCCTTCACAGGTGTTTTTGTGGATCCTTTTTGTATCCCTTTTACCGATTCTTTCTCCACTTTTGACATCTCTCCCCTTCTTGTCATTTTGGTACTTTTTACATTTAGTAGACATACCACGTATTTGTACTACAACCATTATAATAAAGGTAATTCTCAGTATCCCAGCATTGGCATGCGTAGGTATAGTCTAACTTAGTAATTCATTCTATGCTTCCTTTGCACTATTTTTTCATTGGGACTCACTTTGTTTTACTTTTTTATGCTTTAGTTCTATACATAAGTGTTACTGCAATACTTTGGTTCCCTGAGGGAACATCTTTTTGTCCCAGAACAGAACCCTGAGGGACACCACTTGCCACGTCTTTGTTTTTATCTGCAGGGTACGAGTGTGTGTGAATGAACAGTCAGTTCATTCTGCACAGAACTAGGGATCCATATCCTTGTCAGACAGGGTGAGAGCACTGGCTGCTCAGCCTGCTTGCATTCAATTCATTGCTGTCGATCACAGAGATGCTTGTCACGCATAGCAGTGCAATACACTATCAATAATTCTGACACAGTCACAACGGGGACTAGAATCTTTTGAGCCCTGGATTGTTTATCTACCGAGAAGCTATTCTTATGCAATCTCAATGTCCAAGTGATTTATTATGTTACAGAGAAATTATAGGTATTTTGCAAAAATGTTAATAAATCATTAACATTTCATCTTCATGTTCCATTTTTTTATGTATTTAGATTCTTTATTTTTGAAGTGCAGGGTTAATTACACATGTCAGTGAGAGATAACAGAATAACTAGGCATAGTTAGGAGTATTCACGATACGCTGGACTTTAAAAAAAAATAAATAAATAAAAAAATAATAATTTATTTTTAGTAAACAAGATAAAAAAGAGAACATCACAGGAATAAATTAAAGCTACACATGCACACTCTATATGTTGAGTAAGACATGAAGAAAACTACACCTACATGTCAGTTACGCAACTGTAGTTTTCTTCATGTCTTACTCAACATATAGAGTGTGCATGTGTAGCTTTAATTTATTCCTGTGATGTTCTCTTTTTTTATCTTGTTTACTAAAAATAACATCAACTGTAAGTGTGTGCTGATGGGGCTGTATGTGTCAACATGAGGTCATTCAGCCAATTCCAAGGCTTGGCAAATCCACAGTCAGTGCCAGGAGATTGCTGATGGTATAGGTGTAATTTGGGAGCAAGCTAATGCATCTCTCCAGCCCCAGATCCAAACAGAGGCCAGCATCTGCGTGCCACGAACTCAGTAGTTTAGAAAGTCCAAATCCTTCCCGCTCTTGGGGAACAGAAGCCCTTTGGTACTGTATTGGTGATGGTGAGTAGCCCTCTGTGTGCGTGAGGCTTCAGGCATTTGCCCTTTGTGCCATCAGCCTGGGTAGGCGTGTAGTAGGAGTATATGGAAGTCGTGGGTAAAGCTATGCCTGAAGGACTACCACTTGCCCCCAAGCTCTCCCTTCTCCATTCTGTTGCCTGGGGCATTGTACGGTTCTGTATTCTTGCCCAGAAGCAGGTGAAGATGTCATCTAATGTGTGCAGAGACTGCTCTAGTGAGTAGTGGAGAACCCCCTCAGACTGTGAAGGTGATTTAAGGCAAGGGAATAGTGCGTCCGCCATCTTAGGAGTCTCCATGTGCGTATGCAAGCGGAAGCAGGTCTCAGGAGTCAGTGCTGGTAAGTATCACAGGCGCACTAAGAGTTGGTGTAGCACAGACTGGGATAGCCACCGCTGGTCCAAAGGGGAGGATACCCGACTCAGCCAACGAGACCCTGTGGGCTGAGAAGTCGGCCACAACTCCCACCCTTGGCCTCAAGACAGACAGTTTAGAGCCCCGCCGCAACAAGCTGAAGAAAGCTCTACTGGAGTACTCAGTATCTTCCCGATACCATCTGGTGTTGGGTTAGCGCAGTTCGGCATTCGGGTTGGCTTTAGAACTACTGAATAAGGGGAGTATCAGCGGAGCTCATGTTAGATGCGTCCGCTCATCTTGGCGACCAAGCTGCGCCCACCCCTCTTCATTTTTTTTCATTTTTTTTTTAAATATATCTTTATAAAGCTGTTCTAGTTTAAAAGAAGGTAGCCTGTATAATTATCCATTAATTACAGTTCTATTTTTTTTTTCCATTGTCTCTAGGCTGTATATACACTTATCTCACTTCAACAAAGATATACTGCACTTCTTGAAAAAATGAACCCCAATGAGGCGAATGCTATTTGGCAGGTTGTTATTGGAGCACGTGTGCAGGTAAGCAAAGTGTTTTTTTTTGTTTTTTTTTTTTCTTTCTTTTTCATTATTTATAAATTTCAGTGAACAAAGTTTCCATTCGGCGCTAGCCATTGGTGAGTGGAAAATTTTAATCTGGTATGTAGAAATTCACCTTTGATGAATGTGGGCCCTCTAAGCTTGCAGTGGTGAGTAACCATTAAGGTCTGATTAGTAGTATAGGATATATACGGATGATATTGGAATCAATTAATGTGTAGATGATAAAGAGCAAGAGATCAAGAAGGAAACCTTGTGGAACCACAACAGAAATATCTAGTACAGGTCTCTGAGAAGGAAATTCTGAAAGCACAAAACAAGATGAGATATGATTTGAACCAGGAAAGTACACTACCAATGTTGTCAAGGAAGTGAAGTGTTTGTAAGAGAAAAGAATGGACAATTGTGGCAAAGGCAGCAGAGTGAATAAAGTTAACTAGAGAGATGTATGTTTGGTTAGGCTGTGATATGTTACTTTGTCATTTCAGTTGAGTGGAGACGAAGCCTGGTTGGGGAAAAGTTTGAAGCTGAATAATAAGTTAGTTGGTTTTATACTAGCTTTTCAAGTAACTTAAAAATTAGGAGGGTGCTAGCTCCAAACCGAAGCAGACGCTTATAATTAGAGTTCCCGGGACACTCTGACTTTTATACGTTATTTTCTGAACTGCAATGCAAAAATTCAGCCCTACCTTACTTATAATTACTATGAGAAGTAAAATTAAGCCTTAACAGAGTGAAATGGCCCCGATTTTTAAATAAAATCAGAGAATTACTCTAAGTAACTCAGCAGCAGCGGCCTGTCAAGATGCTGTCCGTTCGGGAAGTGTCCTACTCCACATCAGAGGAGAGTGACAATGAAGATGCTGGAAGCTTCATGAGACTGGAGAAAGCTCGAGTTGCCCAAGCAACCTAAACAGACATGCAGAACATCCTAACGGAAATAAAGACCCTCTTTTCTGCAGATATAGCGCTGGTCTGACAGGACATAAGCGCTGTCAGCCCATGTGCAGGCCGTGAAAGACGCAAGCAGTACTGCGCAGAGTAAACAGGACATGTGAAAAAAATAGACCAGCTTAAACAAGCCAACATAGTCTTGGAGAGCAAGATAGCAGCGCTACATGACTCCATAACCTCCCAATTAGGGGTGTCCCCAAGAAGGTGGATGAGAATAAATTTCCTCACTACATAAGACTTTGCTGACCTCCATCCTATCCCCTGCTAAATCCCAAACCATCAGGGTGTCCAAATGACCAAAGGCCGCTCAGGGGGTCCCAAGGAACATCCTATTATGCTTGTAGTAGATTAGGAGCAAACCCATCATGCAGGCGACTACTCATGCCTCCACCATATACCAATTTGAGAGAGCTCACCTATCCTTCTATAATGACTTCTTTAGGTCCATTGTGGTATGGAGACAATGAAGCCAGTGATATGACTACTAAGAGACAGTGATACTCTGTACTGTATTGGCCTGGGACGTAAACATTCAGTGCTGAGAAATTCCTCCTGACACTGGACCTATCCTCAGAGTCCACCTCCACAAGATCTGTTCCGGAACAAACACCTGCTACTCCCACTAAGCTCTGGGATATACGTAAGAACAAGCCACTATCCAAGATCAAGGTCTCAAAACCTGGAATTCGCTACCTGGCATGACTGCTAAATGAAACAAAGATAATTACCTTTGCATTTGCTATTACCTCATGTTTCACTTCTTTTTTTTTTTTTTTTCTTTATTTCTTTTACCATGTCTCTGGTAAAGCTTAAACTTGCTGATTTAGCAGTCATCATCAGAGTTTTTATAGCGACACTGTCTCCTGATGGGCTCATATCCCCCCTATAACTGGCGTGATGTACACACCTGGCACCACTGGCGGATCCAGGGGGGGGGCAACGGGGCAATTGCCCCCCCCGAGAAATCCGCCGGTCTCCCTCCCCTGCCAGCACATGCAGGTGCTAGCCCTGCAATGTGCCTGCGGACCGGAGGGAGATCACAGATCTCCCTCCCCAGTCCGCAGACACTGTGCTGGCAGCCGGCAGGGGAGGGAGAGGGAGGACCCGGAGCTCAGGCTGCAGCTCCTCCGGGTCCTCCTCTCGCGAGATTTGGAGCGTTGCCGCGGTTACCGCGGCAACGCTCCAAATCTCGCGAGAGCGAACTCTAGCCCGGGAGCGCGGGCTAGAGTTCACTCTCCCCACTGGGACCACCAGGGAATCCCACTGGGACCACCAGGGATCGAAATATGTCCCCCCTCCTCCCCAGTAAAGGTAAGAAGGGAGGGGGGACATAGGATATTTTTTTTTTTTAAATTAAATAGATATATATTATTAAAAAAAGCCCCCCCTACCCTTAACACACACACATAGCCCCCATGCTGCCCCCCCATACACACCTACTGCCCCATGCTGCCCCTACCCACCGCACATACACTGCCCCCATACACACATACTGCTCCCCATACACATACTGCTCCCCATGCACACACACTGCCCCCATACACACACACTGCCCACCATACACAGACGCTGCCCTGCCCTCATACACACACACTGCCCCCATACACACACACTCTACACACATACACTACCCGATACACACACACTGCTCCCCATACACACACACTGCCACCATGCACACACACTGCCCCCATACACTGCCGCCCCATACACACACATTGCCCACACTCACACACACACTGCAACTGTTACACACACATACTGTCCCACACATACACTGCATCCCTGACATACACTGCCCCCCTACTCACACACTACAACCTTCACACACACACACACACACACACACTGCTCACACACACACTGCACCCCTTACACATTGCACCACTCACACACACCACTGCTCCTATGCCCTACTACCGCCCCATTTCCCGGCAGACCTCAGGTAAGTTGTCAAACTGTTCTTAAACGGTTTGACTACTTACTCTAGGAGGGGGTCCCGGCACTATTGACACCATAACCACTACACTGAGCTGTAGTGGTTATTGTGTCTGGATTATTTCTTTAAATAATCTACAAGTGCCCCTCCCGAGATCAGGCTCTCGATCCGCCACTGCCTGGCACCCAGACCACTTCATTGAGCTGAAGTGATTTGGGTGACTATAGTGGTCCTATAACCCTTTAAGGACCAAACTTCTGGAATAAAATGGAATCATGACATGTGTCCTTAAGGGGTTAAACCCATTCGTTGCAACTAAGACGTGGCATTATAAGGTGTCTTTATTATGTCTAACCATGCTATGCTACAATAAAAATCTTAAAATTGGAGAAAAAAAGAACTAGGGGAGAATAAATATAAGGCAGATGCAGGCTGGAAAGGAATTCTTTAGTAGTAATATATGCATTTTTATAGGAAGCACAGAGTGTGTTAAAGGTAAGAAAGATATTGAAGATGTTTACTAAAGTTTGTGTTAAAAAAAGCAAAGTGAGAAAAATGGTGCAATGGTCACTCACCATGGTGTTTAATATTATATTTATTTAACAAATGTGATATGTATTTGTGAGGTATGAAAATACATTTAAAGGATCTGGGTGCCAGGTCCCCCAGGTTTTAACCCTTCAAATGTAAACATAGCAGTTTCAGAGAAATCCAGCCTCAAGTGGCTGTCTTCCTGAGAGGCGCTTCTGCGAAAGTCGCATTCAGCTTGCACAATGTCCATAGAAAAGCATTGAGAAATGTGCATGCCGCTCCACTTGGGAGCTGATGTTGGCGGGAAAGAGAGGTCACCAGCGCCGAGGGTTTCCAGTGCTGGATTAAAGTAAGTAACTGAACGGGTTTTAACCCCTTCAGCGCCAAGGAAGGGGGACCTTGAGGGTGGGTGATCACTATAGTGATCCTTTAAAGCGCCTCTGTCACTGTCCTGCATCTTTGCGTGAAAGGAAGGTTTACATAAGTTATCAGTGACTTGGTCTAATTTCCAGAAGGTTACAGTCCATATTTAAAGAAAAGAAAACCAGAAACCTCCCCTTCATTTCTTGTACTAAAGCAGCTTAGTGTGGTTGTAGGTGTAGAAAGGATTTACGTAACACTGTTGCGACTTGGTGGGGCTGTTTAACTTAATTATGGCCTCCATTTAATTTTGTTGATGAAGCTTTTCAAATGATTTCTGGCCACATAAGCAGATGATGAATAGTGATATACATCCTGGGAGTTATGGCTGTTCTTTCATGGAGCACACAGATTTGCTGTACAATCCCTCCGTGCCAGAACATAAGCTTCAAATGCAATATGTGGCTGTCTCTGTTGCTGTGTGGAAACGGTCAGTGAAACATTGCTTGAGCTTGGACAGCTCCCCCTTCCTGACCAAAGGATATCTTATACGAGTGATGGTGAACCTTTTTGACCCCGAGTACCCAAACCACAATACATGCCAACTTTTTTTTTTTTTTTCTCAAAGTGACAACACGGCAATTAAACCTGAATACAGAGGTTTAAGTTTAGAAAAACAACTCGTACAGTTGTCTAAACTAATTAACATCTTTTATTTTAAAAGAACACATCAACAGAGAGTTCAGTGATACAAATTATAAATAATGATATATAAATTATAGATAAAATTAAGCTTATATTTATTAGTATCTCCAACAAATGCCAGACATGCATACACACAGACTGCTGAATACAGTCAGACTGCTGAAGACATTCATGCACACAGTCCGCTGAAGAGGCAGACAGAATGCCGAGTACATGCAGACTGCTGAATACATATACATACACACACATACTGCATTGAGGGGTGCAGTGTGTGGGTGCTGTGTGTGTCTGAGGGGTGCTCTGGTGGGGGGGAGAGGAGAGCAGTGTGTGGTGGGGATGATGCGTGAGGGGGGTGCTGCAGATAGAAAAATAGAATTTTTTTATTTTTTAAAATCATCCTGACATATACATAAAATCTTTATCTCCCCCCCCCCCTTCTTCTTACCTTTGGTGAAGGAGTGGGAGACACAGCCAGCCTGTGGTGGTAAGTATGTGTCTGGCTGCAGCTCTCCTGTTCTCCCGCGCAATGCTGTATGGAGCATTGACATGGTAATGCATGGCAACGCCCCACACAGCCTGCTTGCGGTAGGACAGGAGAGCTGCTTTCCAGATCCCTCTCCCTGCCTCCAGGTCCTCCCAATATGGAAACAGAGGAGGCGCCTGCAGATTTGGGAAGGCAGGTGCCTACTCTGCATTGCTTCCGACCGGTGCCAGTGCTACCTCCACGTCCCCCGATGACCTATGGCCGCGTCCCCACAGAGAGAGCTCGGCATGCCATAGGTTCGCCATCATGGTTATATACTAATATTACATTATTACAACTGTCTGAGCCCATATACTATTCCTATTCCATAGGCAATTTTAGTGATGCTCAGCATCACAGCAGTTGTATTTCACAACAGTACCAATGGCGTTACATACTTTCTTTACCCTGGACCAAGTAGGTAGGGATGGTGAACATATCTTAAGTTTTCACGCGTAGATGTGAAAAGACTCTATTGCATACGGCATGGAGGTGAAAAGGTGAAAAAGAGTGGAGAGCCTGGGCATTTGCTTTGTGTGCAGGTAGACGCCTATGAAGTATCAAAGGTGCAAAAAAAATCTACTACTTTAATTGTGTTAAAAAATAGATGAAGACAATAATTACTAAAAAAATAATTATTTTCTAAGTTCTCAGTTGGCATGTCTACAACAAGGTCTTAGCTGGTTTTTGTATTGTTTTCTAGATGACGAATCTGAAAGAGCGGTATTTGAGGTATGAAGCTAGCTGGCAGCGGGCAGTGAGCATTTCTGAGATGGCAGCTGAAGCAGCTTACCAGGCTGGTGAGTACATATATTCTATAAAAAAAAAAAAATCTTTCACTTAATTTACTGTTTTACTACTGCTGCTGTACAGGTTCTTATTTACGTATCTTAATCTTATCTATTCTCCCTCCTTAATGATCAGTGGAGATATTGACATGCTTTTTAACTGTAGAACTGTAGATTAAACGGGTACCTGTTTCTAAATTTCAAAGAATTAAAAAGAAATAGCATCTGTCAAGGGCTGTGATATAAATATCTCATCCCAATGCAGGGCTGTGTTAAAGAGAGATGTTTGGACATCTTGTGGTAACTGATGCATGGTTTCACTGTTCTGGCTGAGCTGTCTGGGGGAAATGCACTCAAGTTTAAGGCACCAAAATGTGTGGTGTATAACATGTCATACCTTGTAAGATTCCACATACGCTATGACTCTTAAAAAATAAAAAATAAATAATGTATAAAGTAAACTTTGAAACCCATAATTCTTGCAGTTTTCAAATTCTTGCATGGTATACAAGCACCTAAAATTAGTCTAGAACAGAAAGCATCACTAGACAAAACCATCCTCCTGAACAAGGTCATTAAGGCTATTGATACACTAAAAAATAAAAAAGCCCCTGGTCCGGATGGCTTCAGTGCCTACTTTTATAAAATTCTTAAAGAAAAAAAGGCGCCCGAACTGTCACAAGCTTAATTAATTTTATTAATCAATCCAAATGCCCAGCAGAATTTTAGGCAGCCAACATCCTTCCAATACTTAAGCAGGACAAAGTCCCAACGTTCCTAAAAAATTAGACTGATATCCCTTATTAATACCGATGCTAAAATGTTTGCATCCATCGTGGCAGGCAGACTTAAGCAGGTTATTGCTCAAGTTATCTCAATAGGATTCATCCCCTGTCGAAGCTCTATAAACAACATCCGAAGAATAATTGATATTCTTAATATAGCTAAGAAAGGACATAAAGAACTAGTCATTACTGCGTTAAATGCAGAAAAAAGCTTTCGGCCGGGTGATGCGGTGATGTTGTGTTTAGAAATGTTTGGCTATGGTGATATATTTTGCAGGGCAATAAAGGATTTGTATAGTGCACCTATTGCAAGAACCATTGGGCAAAACATATGTGCTGACTGGTTCAATATGGGGAATGAAACTAGGCAGGGTTGCCCACTGTCTCCACTATTGTATCTATTAACAATCAAAGTATTGGCAATTCGTATAAGAGCAGATGGAAATATCCACGGATATGTGCTACCCCAGAGAGAATACAAGATCAGCATGTACGCTGATGACATTCTTTTGACCCTTACAGAGCCTGAGGAGTCTCTGCCCGCCATAATGGATGCAATCTACGAATATTCTGAAATATCTAACTATAAATTGAATCCCGATAAAACAATAATTATGGCCCTTAATATAGAGGGGGGGAAAAAAACTGTTGCGTCAATGCTTTGACTGTCTTTGGATGGAAAAGTTTACTTACCTGGGGATTACGATCTCTCCAGAAGCAGGGAACATCCTGGAACATTTTTTTGGCCCTATTAAAGGAGACAAATTTATGTTCTAAAAGGATGGAAAAATTAAAATCTTTCATGGGTTGGAAGGATAAACACAGTCAAAAAGCGTACATTATCCCCAAATGGCTGTATATGTTTAGACATCTCCCCATTCAAATACCTGAAAGCTGGTAAGGTTTGGCTCAGAGGAGTATCTCTTTGTTTGGCAGGGCAAAAGACCTCGCATTAGTATTAAGAGGATGACATTACAAGTGAAACATGGAGGTTTTGGCATGCCAATCTTACAAAACTATTATTTAGCTAACATGATTGGCCGCATATATCTGATGCAGACTGCAGATATGCAAAGAAAGTTGGTTTCAAATTGAATCACATCTGACTCAACCGTGGGATCTTACCAGTTGCATTCAGGAGACTCAAAGCCATAAATGGCGAGATCTTCATGATAAAAGCTTTGTTGGATCACCTTTTTAAGGTCTGGGCCCAATTAAAGAAAAATCTAGGAGTACAGAATAAAATAATTGATACTATTGGTATCTGTGTAATAGTAAAAAAACATTCCAGATCTAGACATAGATAAATGGATTAAATCTGGTATTCTTAAGGTGGCTGACCTTTACACCAATGGAACACTGAAATCCTTTTCTGAGTTGAACCTAGAATATAATCTACCAACTAAGGAAACTTTTACAGTTTCATTATTATTACTGGTATTTATATAGCGCCATCATATTCCGTAGCGCTTTACAACATTATCAAAGGGGGAGATTTAACAATAAATGAGACAATTACAAAAACTTGTAAAGTGAAGTAGAGCTGGATGAGAAAATAGTGCTGCCCTTTAGGAGAGAGCAAGGGACAGGTATGTGAGGTAGAGGTTATTTTGGGAGGCCATAAGCTTTCCTAAAGAGATGGGTTTTGAGGCACTTTTTAAATAATTGAAGACGAGGGGAGAGCTTGATGGTCGTAGGCAGGCTATTCCACAGGAAAGGAGCCACCCGTGAGAAGTTCTACAAGCGTGAGTTGGCTGTACAGGTGCAAGCAGCAGACAGGAGAAGGTCATGGGCAGAGCAGAGAGACTGAGAAGAGGCATACCTGTGGATCAGTGAAGAAATATAGGAGGGGATAGAATTGGTCAGGGCTTTGTGTGGATTAGTACCTTGAATTGACTCCTATAGGATACAAGAAGCCAATGTAATGATTGACAGAGGGGAGAGGTGTGAGAGGAGCGACAGGAGAGGAAAATCAGTCTAGCTGCAGCATTCATTACAGACTGTAGGGGGGGCAATACGACTTGTGGGAAGACCTATTAGGAGAAAGTTACAATAATCCATGGAAGAGATTACAAGAGCATGGACAAGCTCCCTAGTAAGCATCTTATGTAAGAAAGGGGCGGATGCAGCCTATGTTTTTAAGGTGGAATCTACAGGATTTGGTAACAGACTGGATGTGAGGCCAGAATCAAGTATAATGCCAAGACAGCGCACTTAGAAACATAGAATGTGACAGCAGATAAGAACCATTCGGCCCATCTAGTCTGCCCACTTGCAAGGATGGATCTTTTTAAAGTGTATTAACATTGTCTAAGGTGCATAGGATATTATTTCTTATTCTGGTACCTTGGTGCATCAAAATCTGTATACCAGACCACCTGGACTAAAAGAACCAAGTACTAGCAATTTGCTTGTTGGCAAAACGTGTCTTGATTGAGAATATTATAAACTTTTTATTTTTTATAATAGTAATCTATATGGTTTAATATAATATTAAACAAAAAATTTTTTTAACTTGTGACTAATAGGAGTCACTTCTGTTTATTATTGCGAAGCTACTGCACAGGTCTATTATAGAATGCTATATGCATATAACACACAGCTTTATTTGTCTCACCATTATTGAAAGGAGGTGATAAGGGGAAGCTAAAGTGCATGTGGTTTTGCTTTTTTTTTTTTTTTTTGCACAAAATAACATGTATTTATTTAAAAAGGCAAATGTGACTTTTGAATGATTCTCTATCTGATGCATACCTGCACCATAGAAGTGCAAGTTTGAATTCATACAGCAGTTTAATTGCTTCAGTGGCACATTTATAAATTAAACCATTTATCAAGCCCATTTTCTCTTCACTCGCACCATTAAAATGGAGGATTGCACATTGTGCTGATATAGAGAAAAGAGTGGTGCTAAGATACTCCGCAGGACTTTGCATCTGAAACTGAGTTTACCCAGCACCGAAGCTGGCCACATGTTGAAGGCTTTGTGACCAAACTCATCGATTTTCTTTGTGCACAGTTCATATGTGCCAGGATGTAACGAACTGGTTCTGTTGACTACCCGAACCATCTAGTGATGCCGACTGCTGAAAAAATACAGTAATATCCTGAAATGGTCAATGCCCAGTAAAGCACCCTTGACTTTTAACTTTTCTTAGTCTATTTAAAGGGACATAATAGTCCCCACAACCACTACAACTGAATGTAGTGGTTATGGTGTCTAGAGCCTGCAGACTTTTTTTTTTTATGTAAACCTCCTTTACAGAGAAACTAAGCTGTAGTTGTTTACAGTGCTGCCTAGTAACACCTCTAGTGGCAGTCACTTAGACCGCCATTAGAGGTGCTTCCTTGTCCAGTACTGCACAATGTGCAACATATACGTTCAAAGCCTCCATGGCTGAATAAAGACAAATGCTCCCCATAGAGATGCATTTATTAAGTGCATTAGCGCAGTAAGTGCATCTCTCTGGGGAGTGTTCAGCGTTGGCATGGAGATTCTGAACGTAGGTGGTGCACACTGTGCAGCACTGGACAAGGAAGTGCCTCTAGTGGCCGTCTGAGTGACTGCCACTAGATGTGTTCCTAGGCAATAATGTAAACACTGCCTTTTCTCTGAAATGACAGTGTTTGCCTTAAAAAGGCTTTATGGATATATTATACTACATTAATCTGTAGTTATAGTGACTGTAGAGTCCCTTTTAAAATAACTTTGTTCATGACATTTTTTTATTTGCAGTAAATTCCTAGGTTCTGCTGGTTTTTGCTATGGACACTGCTTAGACTTGAGTTTATCCCATGCAATTCTGCACAGCAGGGTTATTTTCACTCCACACCTGTGTCAATATTAGAGTCCATAGTGCTTTCTTCCCTTGCAAACAGAGATGTTTGTCCCTTTTGCCTCTTTACCAGCTTTTTATAAAAAAAAAAAACAACAAAAAAACAGAATGACAGTGTCTTGGGCTTCAAATTCAGGGACATTGAGGAAATGGTGGTGGCTTGTGATGATGACATGGTATTCTTTATTTATATCCTCTTATATATTTCCTCTTTTAATGTTTCTCTCCCAGACTCATAAGCCGCCAAATTACAGCAACACTCGTGGAGCCCCGTGTCTTGTTTCACACCATATCCATTAACCCCTCTCAAGGCATTTTTGCCTTCCTGAAGTCATCACTGTTTGGGGGGGGAGGGGTCATCATTTATTTTGGTCTCTCTTCTATCTTGAAATACTGCAACATATGTATTGCATCTTTATGAGTGATATGTACTGATATCCAAAATATGACAGCCCTCCATACTGTGATGCTGCAGATGGGGCATTAGCATTATCAGTGTGGCTAAATAGTCTGCATGTTTTTCCAAATGCAAAAATCTCTTTGAGCTTAGAGCTAAAGAAATTTTTGCAAGTTGCAGAAGTTATGCAATATCAGGGAGACACAGGGTGCCTCTTGCCACCATAACCTGGAAGGAACATAAGTTGCTCATATGCTTACCTGTAAAGTAGTTAATGTCTTTGTGGTGGAACATACTGTTAGATTCGTATTGGCTCGTGTGTTTTATCTTTTCCGTTTGGGAGTTATTGCATCCGAATAATCCACATTCAACTCCTGAATGAGGACCACACTGGTACCCCACTAGTACGTTTTCACCTATTAACTTGAGGGCAAAACTGCAAAGTAAGTAATGAATGTTTCCTCTGGGTGGCTGCCATTTCGTAAACAGAATGCACGTGGTCAACAAAAGTGGCGGCCATTTTGCCTTTTTTTTTTTTTTGTACCTGAGAGATAATTGGATTATAGGTTTTTCTCACTAAATTATCTATCTCTCAGGCACAAAGGACCCTGGGAAGGGAAACCCTACATTATTGTGTTGGAGACCCCATGTAGGGTTTGTGCATAAAAGCCATGTGTGGCCTGAAATTAATTAGTTGACTCCCAGAACTATGTTTTGTCTGGTTACTGGATGTCTGCATGTTTTAATGGTTCCAGTCTGGCTGAGAGAAGGAATTAGCGGAGGTAACCAATCGGGTTACCCGTGGTCTGCTACAGTCATACATTAAGTTTAATTTCTGTCTCTTAAATTTTTTTTATTTAATATATTTATACTTCTTTATTCTTAGTGCCCCACCTCTCTCTACATCGTTCCTCCACTATGTGTATAATTGATTCTGATTTGGTAGGTTTTTTTTACCAGTGCTATATGTAGATTAACTTAATATAATGAAGTAAAATCTGTCACAATTTATGATTTTTAGGTTTGATTTGAATTTTACACACCTATGCATGAAAAGCAATTCATCCCCACTGTTGTTTTTGTGAATATTTCATTTTAAATTAACTATTCAGATATTAATGCATGAAATTGATGGTGCAGGCTAGTTTTGCATACATTTAGTGGAAAAAAAAAAGTATAGCAGAACATAAAACACACTGGGGTAAGGTTTTTTTTTTTTGAAAAATGTTTTTTTTTGACCCATTAAATTATTGTTCTGTTTTGTCTGTAAAGCATAACTGGAGACCACTTTCTTTCTGGCAATTTTAAATAGCCACAGTAGTTGTGGCTTAATGGAGGCTTCTCTCAATATTTATGTATAATTGCATGCAGTAAAAAGTATTTGCACATGTATCAAATGTCCTAATTCTGTATATTCCCCTTGTTTTATACACTGTTTAAAAAAATAAAGGGAACACAAAAATAACACATCCTAGATCTGAATGAATTAAATATTCTTATGAAATACTTTGTTCTTTACACAGTTGAAGGTGCTGACAACAAAATCACACAAAAATTTAAAAATGGAAATTAAATTTTTCAACCCATGGAGGTCTGGATTTGGAGTCACACTCAAAATTAAAGTGGAAAAACACACTACAGGCTGATCCAACTTTGATGTAATGTACTTAAAACAAGTCAAAATGAGGCTCAATAGTGTGTGTCCTCCACGTGCCTGTATGACCTTCCTACAACGCCTGTGCAAGCTCCTGATGAGGTAGCGGATGGTCTCCTGAGGGATCTCCTCCCAGACCTGGACAGCATATGCCAACTCCTGGACAGTCTGTGGTGCAACGTGACGGTGGATGGGCGTGCCAGTCCATAGCATCAATGCCTTCGTCTTGCAAGAACTGCTGACACACTCCAGCCACATGAGGTCTAGCATTGTCTTGCATTAGGAGGAACCCAGGGCCAACTGCACCAGCAGATGGTCTCACAAGGGGTCTGAGGATCTCATCTCGGTACCTAATGGCAGTCAGGCAACCTCTGGCGAGAACATGGAGGGCTGTGCGCCCCCCAAAGAAATGCCACCTCACACCATTACTGACCCACTGCCAAACCGGTCATGCAGGAGGATGTTGCAGGCAGCAAAACGTTCTCCACGGCGTCTCCAGACTCTGTCTCGTCTGTCACATGTGCTCAGTGTGAACCTGCTTTCAACTGTGAAGAGCACAGGGTGCCAGTGACAAATTTGCCAATCTTGGTGTTCTCTGGCAAATGCCAAACGTCCTACACGGTGTTGGGCTGTAAGCACATCCCCCACCTGTGGACATCGGGCCCTCATGGAGTCTGTTTCTGACCGTTTGAGCAGACACATGCACAGTTGTGGCCTGCTGGAGGTCATTTTGCAGGGCTCTGGCAGTGCTCCTCCTGTTCCTCCTTGCACAAAGGCGGAGGCAGCGGTCCTGCTGCTGGGTTGTTGCCCTCCTACGGCCTCCTCCACGTCTCCTGATGTACTGGCCCGTCTCCTGGTAGCGCCTCCATGCTCTGGACGCTACGCTGACAGACACAGCAAAGCACCTTGCCACAGGTCGCTTTGATGTGCCATCCTGGATGAGCTGCACTACCTGAGCCACTTGTGTGGGAGTAGACCACTAGAGTGAAAGCACTGCCAGCACTCAAAAGTGACCAAAACATCAGCCAGGAAGCATAGGAACTGAGAAGTGGTCTGTGGTCACCACCTGCAGAGCCACTCCTTTATTGTGGGTGTCTCGCAAATTGCCTATAATTTTCACCTGTTGTCTTTCCCATTTGCACAACAGCGTGTGAAATTGATTGTCACTCAGTGTTGCTTCCTAAGTGGAAAGTTTGATTTCACAGAAGTGTGATTGACTTGGAGTTACATTGTGTTGTTTAAGTGTTCCCTTTATTTTTTTGAGCAGTGTATATTGCTATGCTTTACTAATATCTGCTGCAGCAAAAGCAACATGCTGGCTACCCTTTGCTTTGCAGAGGTTTATGGACTATGTTTCTTTAATTAAACTCCAACTTTTTAAGGCAACATAAACTGTGATTTAACCCCTAATCAAAATTTAAAGGACTACTCTAGGCACCCTGACCACTTCAGCTTAATGAAGTGGTCTGGGTGCCAGGTCCCTCTAGGATTAACCCCTTTTTTTTTTATTTCTTTTTTTTATAAACATAGCAGTTTTAGAGAAACTGCTTTGTTTATAAATGGGTTAATCAAGCCCTCAAATCCTCTAGTGGTGGTCTCATTGACAGCCGCTAGAGGCGCTTGCGTGATTCTCACTGTGAAAATCACAGTGAGAACACGCAAGCGTCCATAGGAAAGCATTTACAATGCTTTCCTATAAGACAGGCTGAATGCGCGTGCAGCTCCTGCCGCGCATGCGCATTCAGCCGAAGAGGAGGATCGGAGGCGGAGAGCTCCCCGCCAGGCGCTGGAATAAAGGTAAGTTTAACCCCTTTCCTCGCTATCCAGCCCGGCGGGAGGGGGCACTTTCAGGGCACTATAGTGCCAGGAAAACGAGTATGTTTTCCTGGCACTATAGTGGTCCTTTAAGAAGTGGAATGAAATGTCAGTATAAATGCTAACAATTTTGAAAAAAAAAAATGCCTAATCCTGTATATTTGTTTTGGCTTACATCTTTACTAACAGACCCAGGATGCAAGTGAGGCCTAGACACTTTAATGGAATCTGTTTTGGTCTACCTTTCTTAGGAAAGGTAAGCCATGATTGTAACCAAACCGTTAATATTTGTGAGAGCAGCTGATAACGGAGATATGACCAGGGATTCCAGGAAGTAAACATGCGTCCTGCTATCATCATAGTGCAGTCAAAATATCTATGATGTATTCAGTTTAAATTGTGTCCAGACTAAAGTGTACTGTACATGATAGAATATGGGCAAAAATAACATTACACTTTGTTTTTCCCCCTGTTTCATAAATAGGTGCGGATGAGGCTTCTGTTAGTGTGCGAAATCATATCCAACTGGTACAAACCCAGGTTTCTGAGACTCGTGAGTTAGCTTTGAAGGCTGAAGCTCAGTTGGCTGCTGCCCAGACAGAAGAGATCAGAAGGTCTATCACAGAAGACAAAGATAAATCCCCTAATGGAGGCAGTCCACGGATCAGCATCTCTGATGAGGAAATTCCTGAAGCTTACCTGCGTGAAGATTAAAGTAACACTTCATTTTCATTTACTAACAGACACAAAGGCACAGTATACCTACCAGTATGTTGCTCTAGGTGGCATATTGGCCGAGTTTAACCAGTTGCCATCAATGACCATTCTCACTGAAGGAATCCATGGTGAAGGAAAAGTTATCAAATGCTTTTACCAACCTTAAATGTTAACCACTGCTGAAATCTTTGGCTGAAACAGTGATACTTCATCTTTCTGAAACCTCCTAACCTGACCCCTTGATGCAAGGTTTGTATTTACAAACAGGAAATGTGTCAAAGAAATTGTAAAACTTAAGCTATGAAGCAAGCCTAAATAGCCCATGCCATAGAAAGAGCATGTGTCTCTTTATCTTGAATGAGCTGCACATGAATTAATAATTGACTGTGAGGGCCAAATTCAATTTTTTTTTCTCTAATGTTAATTGTTTTGACATAGAGAAAGAAAAGATGATAACCAATATTCCTTGTATCCTCTATACCAGCTTAAGACTTTGCTGGTAGAGGAACTGTTGTAAGGTTTTATATTTCTGGCAGCCAAAGGGGGTTAAGTGCCTTCTACCCCAACAAATGTACACATGTATGACTTTCTTTCTGACTGCTTTTAAGTCATGAGTCTGGAGAAGAGAGTTTAAATTAGAAAGCTGGAGGGGGGGAGAAATTCTTGATAGAGAAAATTTTGGTATAGCACTTATCTCCTAGTCAAACTTACAGCACTTCACAGTTTAATAATGAAAATTAAAAAAAGAGCAAAAAAATAAAACTAATTTCCGTATGCATGCTGTGATATGGTGCCTCATATTGCTGGCCCTACTTTGTTAGGAATGTTTGTGAGCTAAAAAGGAGTGCTAACTAGTGGTCACGTCAGGGGCTGAGAGTTTACGAATATTCAGGAATAACGTCTGTAGTGTAAAACCTTCTCATGCTAAACTTGTGTATTTACAGAGCTGTATCTTGATCTGTGTTTGGTCCAGACAATTCATATAGACACATTGCCCTGGCTTACCAGCAAATACTCTTAATGCTGTAATTAGCAGACCATAAAAGGAAACATAGTTCAAAGGTTAGAGCTGGGGTGCCCAAAAGGTAGATCCCCAGACATTTTAAAACTACAGCTTCCATAATGCGTTGTCATTCTAAAGGCATGGAAAGCATCATGGGAGTTGTAGTTTTACAACTTCTGGGGTTCTAACTTTTGGGCACTCCTGGGTTAGCGTATTACAGTAACGCTCAGAGTGTTAGAAGTTGGTGATTATTTAGACATCACATCTCAGAAGAGGTTGAATGGGGTGGGAGATATATATATCTCTCTCTTTAGTCTTCCAGCAGTTGTGCACAATCCATTATTAATTATGAGAAATCTAATCCCACAAAAGCTTGAGCGCTACAGTTGGCTATTCCTTATTGTAAACACTTAAAGTTCGCATTTTCCAATTTCTAACAAGGTACTAACACAATGCACTCAATTTTCTATGTATTTTTATATTATCTTCTACAAAACCAAAACAAGAACCTTGTGGAAGAAGAAGGGTTGTTACAAGTTCTGCGTAGCCTTGAATAATAAAGATTAGTATTCAGTAGTATATTGTTAAGAATTCAAAGTGTCTTTATAATGAATTTCATAATGAAGTCAAAGTAGCTGAACTGGAATTTTCCATTTTGGTAATTTTTCCTTAAAGGGACACTATAGTCACCAAAATCAACTTTAGCCTACTGAAGCAGTTTTGGTGTATAGATCATGCCCTGCAGTCTCACTGCTTAATCCTTTGCCATTTAGGAGTTAAATCACTTTGTTTATACAGCCCTAGTCACACCTACCTGCATGTGACTCTTCCTGAACGCTTCCTGTAAAGACTCATCTAATGTTTATACTTCCTTTATTGCAAATTCTGTTTAATTTAGCAACTATCTCCTGCTCTGTTAATAGCTTGCTAGACCCTGCAAGAGTCTCAGGTGTGTGTGATTAAAGTTCAATTTACAGAGCAAAGGTAAAAACTTGAAAAAAATTCTTCAAGCAGATGGTGTCAATCACTACCAGGGGAGGTGTGGCTAGGACTGCATAAACAGAAACAAAAGTTATTAACTCAAACTGCAGATAATTGAGCAGTGAGACTGCAGGGGCAAGATCTATATACCAACACTGCTTCATTAAGCTAAAGTTGTTTTGGTAAATATAGTGTTCCTTTAAATCTGAAATTCACATTGAACTCTTGACAGTTCTCATTTTAGTAAATATTCTGGTTAGTGGCATCAATGTAAAGAAAAACAAAAACCACTGGAGCTTTCTAAAATAAGTAAGCACCTTGCAATCATTTTCAGGAAAAAGGCTATGTAATGTCCTACAGAACCAAATCTTGTCCATATGTTTATGAAGGTGGGCAGCATTTCTAGAATGTGAAAAATTAATGTTTGCAAATAAAGTATATTCTGATGTTCTTGTGAATTTACTGCTGCATCTAGTCACTTTACACACAATAACGGTCTCCCATCCAGGTACTAAACAGACCACCGTCAATAAACTCATAAGATCAAATTATATTGTGCTGTTTTACACTCTGTTCCAAATTATTATGCAAATGATATTTTTCTCATTTACCTAAATAACTGATGTAAATAACAGCATAATCCTCATGTTATCAATTATTAAGAGTACAATTCAAATTTTATTGAACAAACCTCCTAATGAGAACAGTATTTTTTTTTTAGGATCGAGGTCAGGGGAGGATGGAGGCCACACAATGACTTTCTCTCCTTTTATCCCCATAGCAGCTATTGATGCAGTGGTATTCTTTGCAGCATGAGATGGTGCATTGTCATGCACGAAGATGATTTTATTACGAAAACCATAGTTCTTCCTTCTGTATCAGGGAAGAAAATGGTCAGAAACTCCACATACTTTGCAGAGGTAATTTTTACACCTTCAGGGACCCTAAAGAGGCCGACCAGCTCTTCCCATGATTCCGGCCCAAAACAAGACTTCACCGCCTTGCTGACGTCACAGCCTTGTTGAAACAGGGTGGCCGTCCACCAACCATCCACTTCTCCATCCATCTGGACCATCCAGGGTTGCACGGCACTCATCAGTAAACAGGACTGTTTGAAAATTAGTCTTCATGTATTTTTCTGCCCAATGCTGCCGTTTCTGCTTGTGAGCATTGGTTACTGGTGGCCGAATAGAAGGTTTATGCACAGTTGCAAGACTCTAGAGGACTCTACTCCTTGATGTCCGTGGGACTCCAGAGGCACCAGCAGCTTCAAATATCTATTTGCTGCTATGTAATGGTATTTTAGCAGCTGCTATCTTGATCTGATGCATGGATCTGGCAGAAATCTTCCTCAATGTGCCCTGAATCAGCCACAAATCTCTTAATAGTGCGATGATCACGCTTAAGTTTTTGTGAAATATCTAATGTTTTCATTCCTTTGCCCAATGCATTGAACTATTTCACTCTTTTCAGCAGCAGAGAGATCCTTTTTCTTCCCCATATTGCATGAAAATGGTGCTCTGCTTAATAATGTGGAACATCCTCCTTTAGTAGTTTTTCCTTAAATTGGGCTCACCTTGCAATCTAATTATCACAGGTGTCAGAGATTGTTTTCAGTGATCAAAAGAGCCCTGAGACACAATGCCATCCATGAGTTAAACTGAAAAACAAAATATTTAATCTTTGTGACACTTAAATAGAATTTGCATAATAATTTGGAACAAGGTGTAGGCTGCTATGGCCAGAAAATTTACCTATATCTTTTTATTTTAAATCAAATGAAGTGAGCCTGTACGGACATGCTTGGCCTAGTAATAAAAGGAACAGTAGATAAGCAACTCTACAACAACAGGTTGCTAGAAATCCATGCTATGACATCCACGGAGACAAATGGGAATTACATTTCTGGTAACCTTACTTTTTAAAGTGCACAGCATTGACATTAGTTCCAGGTTGGCTGATGACACCTCATGAAGCTGCCAGAGGTGAAGTTACACCTACAGAAGGCTTAGTCTCAATCAGTTACGTTTTGTAAAAGCTAAAACCCACATACAGACTCTAGGCACCATGACCACTTCAAATCACTGAAGTGATAATGGTGCCTATAGTAACCCTTTAATATATTTTTCATACTGGGGAAATAGTCTAGAATATTTCCCAAATATACCTTGAGACCCTCACAACTAGAGTTGACTTTTTGTATAATTCATGCATATTTTATAGTCACATTTTGAATTCCTGCAAATTTTAAGGCTTTTTAAGCTTATGCAGAAGACTCCACTACTCAAGAGTCTCATGTTATCCACTCCAGCTGCAACCCAACAGTTTAGTTGCATCAAATTTAAACTGAAAGAGTAGTCAGCCTCAGTCCTATAATAAGGATGTGTATCATGTGGTAAATGACTCACTTGTGTATAACGAAACAGAACAAGATTAGTAACAGCTAAGTGTACAGAACAGAGGTGCAATTATTTTATTTTTATTTTTTTAAATAGATGCATCTTGTGAACAACATAAAAAGTATAATTCGGCATAGTGTATAAAATATTTTAGAAGATATGGGTAAACAAGTAGAAATTGTGAAACATTTTCTTCACTGAACTAGGCACTTGTGAAATAGGATGGAGAAAATAATATAGAATATAACAGACAGGAGCAATACATATATAACTTACATTTTAGGATCTCACATGTATATATATTTGTGCTTGGAATTTAATACGTAATGGATAATATCTGAAAGGGCAAAGTTGGTTGTGGTGTGCCGAAACCAACGTACGAGTGGGCCCGTAAATAAAAGAGGGCCCACCAGGGAGAATGTAATGATAACAGGGTGTAGGTGGGTGGGGATAATCAACTGAACCGGCAGAGATGAGTAGGGGCTGGGGGTTTAAGTAGGGGACTTACTCCTCCCACAAATTCAGGCCTAATGGCCTTTCTACTTGTGCTCGGAATTTAATACGTAATGGATAGTATCTGAAAGGGCAAAGTTGGTTGTGGTGTGCCGAAACCAACGTACGAGTGGGCCTGTAAATAAAAGAGGGCAAAAGAGAAGTTCGAGAAAATACACACTTTATTGCCTTTTTACATAACCAAGTTCCTGAATGCTTGACGAAGCTCTTTTTCTGGTCGCGGTATATATGTATGATATATGGAGGATTTCCAACGACCCTGTCTCTTGATGATGTGGACCGGGTTGTTTGTGCTAGAGGCTGATGAAGCGACTTCTATGCGGAATGAGTGTCCGGAAAATGAAGCCAATTGTAAGCCAGTTTGGATAGTAGTGTTCTGACGTGTGCCGTGAATTTAGCCGTGGTGAGCGGGTCCCCTTGTAGTAATAAGAGCGGAGAGTCTGGTAAGTGCGCGTGATGGGTTGACCGTAGGTGATCTAGCGCCTTGACCGGACACCAGGCATTATCGGTAGGGAAGAGAGGAATTATGGTGGGGTGTTGTGAGTGGTTAGTTTTAGTTGATGGGATCGTAAGTAGGTAGTGATCCTCCACCTTAGTGAGGTGTGATGTTTTTAGGCTGTGCGTGATATCTCCTTGACAAATAGCGGTGAACTCTCTGGGTCTGAAAACCGTAGAAAGCGAGATAAATAGCAGGTTTGATGACCAGGTTTGTGTTGGGATCAAATGGGGATTCGTCAAGGAGATTGCTAATTGATCTAAAGATAGATCCATCTATAGGTAGTCTTGTAGTGGTGAGTGGAACCGAAACCTTTAATATACCTTTCAGGACCTTTTTAATGGGATATGATGACAAGAAGGGGGTGTTGTTAGGAAAATTGGTGAGGCTATGGTGCTGAACCCCGGTGAGGTAAAGTTTAATGGTGTTGTGAGAAAGTTTAAGATGTAAGTGTCAGAAAGAGGCAAAAGCCTGGTTTGTGTAGAGAAGTCGCCATGTAAACCGAATTCTGCAGTGAATTTGTTAAAAATGGTAAGTGCCCTATTGTATGAGATAGCTGTGTTGGGTGATAGTGCTTGGTGAGTGAGAGTCCTAGCGTGGTGCATAAGTGTGCTTAATCCAGGATTAGCTCGTGAAATCGTGGTGTCCTGGATGGCTGGTGGTGAGCCATAGGGAGTGCCTGGAAGAATACCTGGAATTGAGAGCGAGAAAGAGCATCAGCGGCCGTGTTGTGGGTGCCCAGGATGTGAAAACAAACTATATGAAACTGGACGGTTGCTGCCAGCCAGGTCAGCTTGCGAATCAGCCGCATGATGGTAAGGGACGATGAGCACCCCTTGTTAAATGATTTCGCAAGCCGCCAAGTTATCTGAATAGCATTTTACTGCCTTGCCGGACCAGAGATGACCCCAGGTGTCTGCGGCCGCCACGATGGGATAAATTTCTAATAGGGCTGAGGTCTCCCTGAATCCTGGCAAGGCATCCGTCTCAGCGAGCCAGTGACCCCTGAACCAGTGGTTCCCGAAGATGGCTGCGAAACTAGTGTTGGCTGCAGCGTCTGTGTGGATGATGGGTGAACAAGTGGAGAGAGGGGGGGATAAAAATGGAGATACCCTTCCAATCTGCCAAAAACTTCCCCCACATACCTAAGTCGGCCTTTGCGTGGGGGTCCAAAGAAACTGGGCAAGAGTCCGGTACCCCGTGGAGCAGGCAAAGAAGCCTGGATATAAAAGACCTTCCCTGCGGGATGATGCGCATGGCAAAGTTAAGGGATACCAGAAGGGACTGAAGTTCCTTTCTGATACAAACATCATTCCGCAGGAACATGTCTATCTCCCCTCTCAAGCGAATCAGTTTGTCGTGGGGAAGGCTAGCTCGGAGGGTAACAGAGTCTAGCTCTATCCCCAAAAAGGTTAATTTAGTTGTGGGGCCGATTGTTTTTGATGGAGACAATGGTACACCAAGTGTGGAAAAAAGTGCTGTAGTACTGCTGATAGCGGTGGGTGTTTGTGCCCCTGGCTCTATCAGTAAGAAGTCGTCTAAGTAATGGATAGCAGAGTGACACCTGAGGACATTCAGAAGCAGCCAGCATAGCGTTTCAGCAAAGATATAGAACAGTTTGGGGCTGCTTCTAGAACCGAAAGTGAGTCGAGTGGAGAAGTAGTACTTTTCTCGCCATTTAACACCGTGCAAGTGCCAGAGTGAGGGGTTCATGGGTAGTAATTTGAAAGCGTTTGTGATGTCCGTTTTGCTGAGCCAGGGGCGACTACCAGATGCGATGATGGATTGTATGGCATCATCAATTGTTACATTACAAAATTAACAAGGGTGAGAGCACTCAACACAAATGATAAAATAATTTTACCCAAACTTTGTCAATCAGTCTGAAAATTAAAAACAGAGAAAAAAGACATAGGGTAATATAGTTAAGATAATATATAAGGATAACTCTCAATGGTCTCACTCACATATATAGAGCCACTTAAAAGCTGGCTCAAACTTCAAGCTTGAAAATACAGTGGAAAGCAGGACTTCTCCCAAGGGCTTCCAAACTTCTACAGATGATACCTTTTATCCCATTCAGGACGCCAGAAATGGAAATGGTGGTAGATAAAGATTTATTAAAAATAAAATAAATTAGAGTCAAAAATGTCTCTACAGATAAGTCCGTTTTAGGAGTAAGTCCAAACACTTAACGCGTTTCGGCTCTCGCCTTCTTGAAGCTTTCCACTGTATTTTCAAGCTTGAAGTTTGAGCCAGCTTTTAAGTGGCTCTATATATGTGAGTGAGACCATTGAGAGTTATCCTTATATATTATCTTAACTATATTACCCTATGTCTTTTTTCTCTGTTTTTAATTTTCAGACTGATTGACAAAGTTTGGGTAAAATTATTTTATCATTTGTGTTGAGTGCTCTCACCCTTGTTAATTTTGTATTGTATCACTGATTTTGATTTGTGGTGGTGTGGCCCACAAAGGTGATTGTAGCACCCATTTATTTGTTTTTAGGAATTTTTTACTATAAACTTTTACTACATCAATTGTTACATACTGAAGTGAGAATTCGTCTGCGGGTATGAGTGCGTTTATGCTGGGAACAAAAGAGGAGTGCGGTGCCGATAAATAAAAAATTAGACGTTTATTAGAATATTTGTGTACTGCGACACCAATGGGGTTAGTGCGCCAGGAGGAAAACGGTGAGGAGGTGAAGGGGCCGATCATGAAACCGTTGGTAATTTCTGAGGAAAGGAGGGTATCTGTGGAGATTGGATCTTGGCATGCTGACAGTAAATTGGGACATTCCAGTGTGCCTGTGGGGATGGCTACAATACCCGTGAAAAAACCCTGTGTGAATCCAGTGGTCAGATTTTCCACCAAATTCCTGCTCGGGTGTGTCCTTGGGTAAAAAAACAGGTTGTCAACATTTATGTCGGTTGGTCATTTGTTAGGGGACAACCTGGCCGGGCACATGGTCTTGGTATGTGCCCTAAAGCATATACAACAGATGTGCAACAATCTACAGGCGCTGAAACGTTGTATGGGGGGGCATGGTGGTACAGCGGGGACTGCCAGGGTGGCAACTGGGAGGCCCGGGGTATTACCTGGGGAGGCGATGGCGCTCTCCACCTTAGCCTGTTATTTAAGGTTTGTAAGTTGGCCAAGATTGCTACTAGGGTATCCTGGGTGGCTGTCATTGAGACCTAGTGCCTGGCCTAGGTTTAGGGATAGTCCATGCTCTCAAGGACGTGGGAGTTGAGGGGGTGAGAGATTCGCATGGAAACTCGGCTCTGATGGGCGTAAATGGGATCTCCTCGGGCAACTCTTCGATGAGGGCTGGTTCTTGAGATATTCTAAAAATGATTCAGTGAATGAGATATTAGAAGGTGAGTAGGGGAAGGTATATGGGGAGGGATATGAGGGGGGTATTTTATGAACTGGACTGTAATGCTAATGCGCAAGCGAAAAACTTATTTGTGAGTTTTTGATAGGTGAGGCCCTGCTAGTGCCAAGTGGTGGTGGCAGGGTGTTGGCCTCTCGGTGACTGTAAAGAGATTCAAAAACGTGTGGCCGTGACAGGTGAGGCCCTCACTACAGCCCTGTAGTAGGGCGGGCGAGGCATATAACTATGATTTGGGCGCGGGGCCGTACCTCCGTGTTGAGGTGGGAGATGGCCTAGCTGGACTAGGGTGAGCTAGGGCGGTAGCCCAGACCCTGCAAGCCAGTTCACTTGTATACTAAAGGTTGAATGGTAATGCTGGTGTAATGTGTGGATACTAACCTTGAAGGGTTTATAATAGAGAGCTGGAACCTTCGAATGTTATTATGTAGCGAGTCTTGGCTGCTGCTGTCCTCGTAGAAGAAGCCTAAGTATTAAGACAGATGTTGATGTATTTATGCGTTAAGTGATGGCGTATGATTTGTGGTAGGGGTTGGCTGTTAGGGGTGAGACGTGCGATCCTAAGTGAGGGATCTGAATGGTTAGTCTAAGACTGAGGCGAGTTTACGTTATAGAGAGAGGCTAATTGAGGCCTTGGGGTAGTGAATGCCGTAATGAATAAGGACGTAAGTACCTGGTAGTGTGGCTGAGTACCGGGTTAGGTAGGTTGGGTAATTTCTTGCCTGATGGCAGTATGACCGTATTCATGAGTAAGAAAAAATTTAGAGAATTTAACACACCAAGGACGTAGGACCTTGAGTTAATCGTAATGAATCGAGACCGCGTTAGGTCTTGTATGAAAAAGGTCCTGTAATGAGTAGAGAAATGTACCTCGATTTGTTATGGTCACTAGGATGAGCGTAACTGTTGTTCCTGTGTAGGATCCGGTGGAGGCCTAGAATAATTCTGGAGCTATGGCTTAAACCCATAAATATTTGATCATTAGCGAATGCTGTGACAGTGTTATAAATAACCAATTTTTTTCTGTGATAAGTTTAGAGTGCATGCAGTATTGAGGCATGGAAATGGTTGACACCATGGTGAGTAAATACAAGACCTTGAATTTGCTAACTTTAAAGGACCACTATAGTGCCAGGAAAACACTCGTTTTCCTGGTACTATAGTGCCCTGAGGGTGCCCCCACGCGGCTCTGGAAGGGGGAAAGGGGTAAAAACTTACCTTTTTCCAGCGCTGGGCGGAGAGCTCTCCTCCTCCGATCCTCCTCTTCTCCTTCCATGCGGCTGAATGCGCACGTGCGGCAAGAGCTGCGCGCGCAGCCAGCCGGTCACATAGGAAAGCATTATCAACCACGTGGTTGTAGGAAAAAGAACTGATTACTAAGATACAGTGGCTATGGTTTTTTTATATTTAGACATAGTTAACCAGAAAACACAGTTTAGGTGATAAATGGTTGTAGTTTTTTTAAATGTATTTAATAACTCCTGACAGGTAGTACAAATAGTTAAATAACTGAACAGACAGTATATGTAATAAAGTGAGTTCATGTGCACGAAATGTTTGTATTATACTGAACGGAGAGCGGTAGTTTTAGCCGAACGTGGGACCTGCTTAGGTTAAGTATAATGTGCGTTCGTTTACTCCCGCGCGAATAGCATGAATTAGGTAAGTTAGCGAGGGGTGAACAGGTTTTTACACAATTCGTTTAAAGTGCCTGAACGGATAAGTAATAAGTACATGGTTCGTGCATATGACCGAACAGTAAAACAGGATTGAAACGATTAGCCTTAGAGTTATGCTCTTACGTAGTTCGGCAGTTAGATCATGCGAAAGCCCCCATGAAACGTAAGTATAGCGAGCGTTCGTCTAGTTTAGTGGCGCGAACGCGGAATTCACGAATAGGTAAGTATACGTAAATTGGTAATGTGATAGAAAAAAGGGAGCCTACCCCCTATGTTTTTAGGCCCAAACTGAGGGAAATAGCCGAACGCTATTTCCCTCACAAGCTTACATGAGCATGCCGGTCTCGTGACTGGAAGCCAAGTACCGAGGCCGGGAAGAAGGCTGGTGGCAGGGCTGCAGAACGGATGGATGGAGGATTCCACTGGACACCTCTTACTGCAAAAGACTGGAGTCGTTTGGCGGGAAAACTCGGACCGGAAGTGCTGGTTGCTATGGAGATAGACAATCAACTGAACCGGCAGAGGTGAGTAGGGGCTGGGAGTTTAAGTAGGGGACTTACTCTTACCACAAATTCAGGCCTAATGGCCTTTTCTACATATTAAAAAAAAATAAAAATAAAATAAAAATAAATAAATTGTGTTGCAGATATATGTAGCCAAACAGTAAGTTATTGCAATGTTTATATTGCCTAGATTTTGCAAGTGTTTTGGTGAGTCATGTTTTCTGTGCCACTCTCCATTTAAAAAAAAAAAAAAAAAAAAACCTGCACAAACTTCCATTCCAGCTCTGAGACCAAGTTGGGTGAGGTCCATGTGGTCGCCAGCATGCTGTCGACAGTCACCAAACAAGCACAAGACAAATATGAGTCAAAACTCTTGTTCCAGGCATGGTAATGATACCACCTGAGAGGTGGAGTTACAAAGCTAGCAGCAGAGTGGGTTAAACTGTATATGCAGCATTTCACTATGAATCACATACAGACTCCATAAACCATTACCACTTCAAATCATTTAACTAGCCAAGATGCTTAGAGTAAGCCTGCAAGTCACCTTTCCTTAAACTTGAACCGCATATCTCCTTGGATATATTACTGCAGTCAGCAGGCTTCCTGACAATAATGGTTCTAATATGAGTATGAAATATTACCACCTAGAGTCCATTTGGTATGCAATTTCAAGAAAATAAGCAAGAGCAATTAATTCAACACCTAGGTGTGTTATGCCATGAAATGTTAATGTGTGTTCAAAAGTGGTGTTTAATTTTTAGGGTAGGTTTACATACCGGTTATGACCGTGGCATGGAGCACACAAATCTTCTATTCATAATGCAAGACATTCTATTGGCTGTGTGGAAGGCAAAGGGACACTTCAGGAATGTATTAAAATATATGCTCTAGTCTAGATCATGCTAGTGAGACCATCAATAGAATAGATATATTTGTAAAAGGTGGTGATGCATCCATTTTTGCAGAACAGAAAGCAATTACAGGAGGGTAACATATTGCTTCCATGTTTGTAGATCTGGCATAACATTGCTAACTTTACAGGATCTCCTAGCAGTCTGACACCTGTAGAACTCCATAAAACCATACCATGTCAAAACTGTGCAACAGCTATGTGTCATATGTTACCACATGGTACATAGGAGTAATTTTAAAAAGTCTTCGATTTAGATTCAGGATTGATAGCAAAGCATCTTAAGTCGGTTGGTACATTAAAACGTATCATAGCCTGCGCCATTTGATTTGTACAACTAATAACTAAACTCATGTTATTTACAGTGCTGTCACAATATCTTTCTGTTAATTCTAGGCATTACATGCTACTGTAAAGCAAGATTATAATGAATTAAATGAATACATCATAGCGATAGGTTACAAAATTTATTTAACAATGCATCACATTGCAAGCTTTAGTCACAAATTGCAGCTACATTTATAAATATATTCATATTACTGCGCACAGCGTGTTGTAGGAGAGAATTATATTTATGGCTTAGAAAGGGTCCTGTCAGCACCAATGTACACTACACAGTTATAGGCTATGTCACAGTCCACCATGAGAATCCAGACAACTCAAAACTGAATCTTTCAGGATGTTTGATAGGTCAGTTATTTCTGGTTTTAGAGTAGCATCAGTTGCATTGTCTGGTATAGCTTCTAGTGTGTCCGTCTTCCAGTAATTGAAGTATTAGGATCATATCAAATGAACACATGCAGCTCGCACAGTCCCAATACTGGACAGTTCCATTTGTGTTTCAGATGTGGGTTGATCTAGAATACCAAGACTCATGGTTGAAATAAAATCTAACAGGCTTCAGTACACCAGGAAACAAGAAACTATCCCACAGACAAAACAGGCTACACAATTTACAGGAGAGTTTTTTTTAAGTTACTGTGAAATTATTCTAGAATACAGTAATCAATAGAAGAATCAGATGCTATTGCTAAAAAAAACAAAGTTAATCTCCCGTGCTGAATTGACAGAATGAAAACAGTTATTGAGGTTACAAGGTGTTCTTTGAGTGTGCACATCGCATTGATTTATCCTTTACTAAAGACCACATTATCCACATCTCAGTAGGGTTTAATTTGTGCACGATCATAAGGCCTTTATATAAACAAGGATCAAAGGGATTGACTGGACTTTGGATACCAAAGGTTTTAAAACCTGCATGGAATTCTGGTGTTACATTCAACTTTTTGAGACACATCCCAACAAATACATCATCAATAGGAAAGAGTTCTGTGGCTTCTGCGGTGGTAAGGAGACGTTGAGTAGTCCTCCTTGACATAACGTAGCCACCACCCCCAGCATACAGAGGGTAATTATTTGCACTGTACATGCTATGAGGGATGAAGTATTTCACATTTGTGTTTCTGATCGGATTAGCATTTCTGATTACATCTCCAACTAAGAAGTCATCTTCTGGATTCAAACCATCAAGAAACTCAACAATATTGTATGTGTTTATGAAGACATCATCATCTCCCTTTAACACAAACTTTGCATGTGAACAATCTTTGGAGAACCATCTTAGAAAATGGATTTCCTTGAGTGTAAGGTTGAAAAAATTATCCACAAAATCCCACTGGATTAGGTCTTTATATTCCCCATTTTCATAAGACAGGAGCTGGTGGAGTGATTTAGCTGGAGAGGTGGCTTCTGTTTTACCAAGTAAGAACAGTAGCTTGATCTTTCTGTTCTGGAACTCTTGGTGTTTCCCCCATGTATTCCTAATTGCAATACGACGATCTATGTTGATGGGCAGAGACTTTATGGCCAATATCAAAAAGGTTTCTTCCTCACATTTGCTAGGATGCAGCAGTGTTGAGAAGTTCCTGCAGTGTTTGTACATTAAAAATAAACGGTGAGCCTCTGGAAGAGATACAGATGCATTGGCAGCTGAAGCATTTGGATAACATGGGATGACAGTTTTTGATGAAGGAGCCCAGACGAATAGCTCTTTCTTTGGTGGTTCTAACTTTTTAAGAGTTACAGGATTCTCAGTGATCTTAGGATCTCTTTGTAAGAATATGAAAATACCCAGTGCTGATAAAGAGAATGCATACAGCAGAATACTTTGAAATCGTGGCAACATTTCTGTGCTGTATCAAAAGTTCCAATACCTGGTTGTACAAAAAAGACACACAACAATGTTACAATTAGAAAACAGATTAAAATATTTTATTTTCATTTACTTTTTATTTAACAAGTTGTGCACTATGGTTGTTCTTGTTACTTTTATAAACCTAAAACACCAAAATACAAAAAAAAAAATTAATCTTTCTACATTAGAAAACAAGTTTCTGGGGAAAATACAGATCAAAATCGGTTATTCTTCACTGGCTTCAAAATGCCCTTCCCACAATTCCCAATGTAAATGCCAAAATACAATGGGTAATATCCACGGATCATTATCAGTCCTTTGATAAGTTGGAAAAAAAAACATGTTTTCTCACGCTGAGAATGCTTAAAATATATTGCATTAAAATCAGTTTAGTGGTTGGTCTGAGACCCCATGGGTTGAGGTATGTATTTTGGTTTTAACTGGTCTCTTTGAGAATTAAATGAAAACGATGTATAAACTGCTTCACTTAATCATCAATATAATGCACACTATTGCGAGATAGAAAATCCCATGGAAATCAAACAATACAATATCTGTCACATCATACCATGGATATGTGTTGCAAAGCTACATCAAAAACTGATTTTTTTTTTATATATATATTTATATTACATAGTTTACTCCATTGAGAAATGGCCAATTAGGTGGAAAGTACCCCTTCCCCCTTTTGTACGGAGAATAATCCACAAAGTCCCTTGGCTCTGTCCCTCCATTGTGTCAACTTATTTACAAGCAGTTTAACACAAAAAAAAAAAAAAAATTGTATCCACAATCAATTCATAACAGCGAAGGGTGATGTGGAAGACTGAATGCAGTCAGCTGACACTCATCACCAATTGCTGCTCGGGCCAATGCTTCCTCATGAACTCAAGCAGTACCAATTGAGATAGGTTGCTGGAGCCTCTCATTTAGCATTAAAAATGGTCTATTGCCTCCAGATGAAACAATGTCCCTTCAAGCTACTCAAAGCCCTCATCCCTATCTCATGCGAATTCAGATCTACACAAAAGATAGGGATAAGGGCTTTGAGCAGCATTCACACAAGCTGGATGAAATCAGTCAAGATCATTTGGCCAAACATCCTCCAACATTACCGACAAAGATGAAAAAATAAATGTATAACAAAGTATAAATGCAGTGAATACACACTTCCTGCTTTACAACCAACTCCTCATTGAATCATCTTCGCTTTAAACAGCAATGGGTACCCAGGATTATTTTTTTTTCCTTCTGCTTGATAATGAAAATTTAATAAAATTAACAAGGATTCTTTTTTTTTAAAGCAAAATATAGGAACACATACTGTATGTATGTACTAAATATTTTCACTAACACTCCAATACCAACTACTGGTGCAGAGTGGATTACTAGGAGTATGGCAATTGGGCTTATAAAAACCATCAAATTAAGTTGTTATGGTGTCAAGTCTTTAGGGGTTAAACCATTTATGAAGTTTATGTTCCAGTGCTGGACCTATGAGGGGGTTCAAAGTGATCCATTGATAAAGCACAGACTTTGGTCCTTTAATGCGACAATAGTAAACCTGTAATTTGGAGCTAAAAAACAAAAAAAAAATAAACCCACTGAATGTGTTAAAATATTGGCTTTAAAAAGGGAACAAAAAAACAAAAAAAAACACACCACCTTC